GTCGACCGTGCTGTGCGCGGCAGTTTTTGCGCGAGAATCGATTCACTGTTTCTATAGAGCCCTGCCGGCCCGTACCCCGGTACCGGGAACTAATTCTCCTGGTGCTTGGATCCCATTGGATCACCTCCTTTCTCCGTGCTATCTCAATGGTCAAGAGGGCTCGCGCCAAGAGAAATATGAATGCCGTGCATCCCGTGGACGTTCCGGGCATCGCTCAACGCATTGCACTCCGCACGACCAGGGGTATCCTTTTCTACTGAAACTCTTCAACTGCCACTAATACATTTAGTTTCTTTAAAATCACCTGTTGACTGTCCGTTCGCAGGAAAATGGACGAAGACTCGTGGAGCGTGCTCGAGGATCCTTAATCGAGGACAGATTGCCATCGTGTTACTTACTCCTGGTCTTCTTCTACTGTATATTGCATCTTTAAATGACCTTATTTTTTAATACATTTTTATTATACCATATCATTTCTGGATCGACGATACTTACAAATTTGTGTATAGTATAATCGTATTATTTAATACAGGGGCTATTCATTATTTTTGCCAATCAAAGTTTCACTTAAGTATATGTGTATATTGGATTTTTTAGTAGAACGAGGGACGATGCTGACAATAGAATTTGCACTGGGGATATAACACAGGGTTATTATCCAAACGCGCCACCTGAAGTTAACGCACCCATTTGATTCTTATAGTAAAACCATGTTCAGATGATCCATATGGGCTGTATTACCCAGTATGATATGACATAACGCAAAATGAAGAATTTAGTGCGATAACGAATAATCAATGTGAATGGAATGTAAATATCTATATCGGTTAATAAATCTATTGTAAAGTAATTCTGCTGTCGATATTGATTTTATGAAATACTTTTGGACAATATAGTCAGGCATATTGAACACTTTAAAGTTTTGAGATATGAGAGTTTGTCATACTCCCTGAAAGAATGTTCATAAATGAGAAATATTCAAAAGTGGCTGAATACTATTTAAACTGTTATCAGTCATAAGAAACTTGTATTATAATACCTGGAAAAAAAAAACTTGCTATACCCACCGTTATCAAACTGCAGTTTCTTTTTTTACATTACAGTACGGCCATACTCTCCAACATAATACAGCAGCACGAGTATCAAATTTGACTTATGCCCATGTACACGGGCACGAAAATACCTAAGTACCAGTACGCAACTTCTTTCTATTCGTAGCATCTAAAAATGAAACTATTCATCGACCATACTGAAATAGGCCAATTCGTAGAGAGGGGGGATTGAAAGAATCACCGTTACTCCGTTGCGTGGAGGTGGACTACGCTACGAAACCATGCAAGTCTCGAAGCGCTTTACAGTTCTGCATACGCCACCCGAGATGCATAACATAAGGTACCGATTGAAGAATGCCACTGGGTTTTCGTATAAGGAGCAGGAGAGGCGAGTGGAAATTTTGAAAAAAAATTAAAAAGAAAAATATAAAAATAATAAGTAATCAGCAAAGAATAAATGGGCAACCGTCAGTCTAGAGAAAGTGGTTGCTCTCGTAAAGCTTCGATAAAGAATAGGTCTGCGGATGCTTTCTCTTGGAAGTTTCCAAGAATGAAAGTATCCGGGGTAAGAAATACGCTGGAACCAGGAAGCCACAAGCATTGTATACGGTTTAAGATCCGTGGTTTAATGACTTATGGTTTTTGGAACTTTGAACGATTGGATATGTAACGGGTTTGCCTAGGTTTCTCTGTTACACGATAAAACTGATTACCATGGTTACCATTTGTCATTCGCTTTAACAGAATGTTGAAGCAACACCGAAACCCAAGTAATAATCGAATCGACTAATCTATGCTCTCCCGTTGATCCCAATGTACCAAGTCTAGCGCGAGGCGTCCTCGACAGAAGGAAGAGAAGGATCATCGTCGTTGGTTCATGGTCAAGGCATAAATGGCCGGTTTAATTTTTCACCCGGGTATACGCGAGACAGAACGATAGGACGAGTGTACGCGGAGGGAGACAGAGAAGGCAAAGAACAGAACGAAAACTGTGCAATTCAAACGGTGCAAGTAGGCATGGCTTCCTGCTGGGAGCTGATCCGTGACGCCCACGCCGGCCACCTCACTTCGCTTCTTGTTGCTTGGCTGGCGAACCAAGATCTCTCGCGGTACCGATCGAACCGCTTCTCTTGATTCTTTCACCATGCTTTAACTGGGACGGAAGTATTGATTCCCGAGGGGTGTTTCCAGTGAAAATCACAGGAAGCCAAAAGGCCCAGCTGAATCGATCAATTTTATAAATTGGTTATACCTACCTATGCATTGTGCTACTCGAGCGGTAACGTTGTAACGCGCTGTAACAGCCAACTATATACGGTCAGGTTAGGGAAGCACGCTGCGTGCTGACTGCTTAGAAATCTAATAGAGTGAAAATCGTCATGGGATCGTTATGAGTCCAGAAAATACTTCAAGGCAGTAGAATTTTGTATCAACGGAAAATCCAATGGAATTAACGAACGCTGATGTTTTTCTTAGTACAGAGAAATTGCGAAACAGTTGGTATAACGTCAGGAGGAGACGGTAACGTTGACGGTGACGTGTGACGTGACGTGGAACGGAAAGAGGAAATGAGGAACGAGAGGGAGAAGGACTCCTGAATGAGCGCGAAAAATAGAAAGAGCCTTGGAAAATGATACGGGAGGGGTATTTAGGTAATGTACAGAAAAGTACGAGGGAGCGAGCGAGAGAAAGAGATGAGGAAAGTCGAGGAGAAAGGGAGAGAGAAGCAGAGCGCTAAGAGGGTGGAAGTTGCACAGTGGAAAATAAAAGCACTCCCCAAGCGCCTAATTATCTTAATTTGCATCGGATAATGAACGCTGCAATTATAAATAACGAAAATCTCTATTATGCAAGACTGTAAATACAATGGATGACTGTTGCACCGATACTTGTGTATGGTACGTGACAATGGGCCAATTTTTAAAATTACCGATTTACTTTCCGTTTAGTATAACCTGATACGGAAGTAGCTATAATCGGTGAAAGAGCTTTGCTTACTTCGTGATATACACGTTAGTACTCCGTTAAAAGAATCCTTGAATTTTGAAATTCCGTAGCCTGACGGTAACGTTAAATATTGGCCAATTAGAATTTTCATAAAATTTCAACATCCTGGTTAAGTATATACGAGGCTAAGAAATTTTCTCCACCTTTCTCCTAAAGTATATCCAAGAGATACTTGACGCACTTTTAATCTCTCTACATATACGAAGTCTCTCGATGGGTGATAGTCTCTTTCTTAATAATAACGGCCTGAAATATGGAGAAAAGAGAAAAATTCGAGAGACGTGGAGAAAGCAAGAGACTCACCAAAAGCGGGCGCGCTCGAGAGAGAGAGAGAGAGAGAGAGAGAGAGAGAGAGAGAGAGAGAGAGAGGGGGGGGTGAAAAAGAAGAGAGAAAAGATGAGAGCACCCTTCGGCCTCTTTCGACTCCGCCTGCTTTTCCTCTCCTGCTGACTATCTCTCTCTCTCTCTCTCTCTCTCTTTCTTCCATTACTTACTGTCTCTCTCGCTCTCCGTTCCATTCACCCTCATCACGGAAGGGAGGAACTTCTCTTCTCGCATTCTCTCTTTTCCACGGTTCCGCCGATACTACCCTGGAAGAAAATTTCGCGATATTTCTCCAAAGAGATTTATACAAAAAATTAATTATACAACGTCAACCCGCAAATAGCAAGATCACTGCATCGACACTTAAGATCAATTTGCACTTGTAATTCCGTTATTTACATAACTTACCATTCGCAAGAAGCACCGTACGCATACGTTTTGACAAAAACCATTGTCTTTTTATGATCATTAACATTCCCATGGATACAATCATGTACCCAGACTCTTCCTAAGCGTGACAATTGGCATTAGGTCACGGCGAAGCACTTTCGCAGAAGACACTCAGCGGGTGGATTACTTGTACTCTGACTGCAGCCTTTCTGTAATATTAATCTGTTTTCCAAGAACTATTCATAAAGATCGCATTCATTCGCTTCGCATCCTTTTGCGACTCGGGATGCACGCGTAGTATCGATATAGAAGGAATCCTTAAGAGAAATAAATATACAATCGCATCTCCCTCAGTGTTACAGCCGCCATTCGATCTTCTTAATACTAGTCATGTACAAGAAGTATAATAAATTTTAATGTGGGAAAATAAGCCGAAAGTGTCATTCTTGTGAGTAGATTGAAATTCGACTTGGTTTTTTAAAAAGTCTAATTTCTGATCCTTGCACCGTGAAAAATTTAAGGTTGTCCTTCGTCCTGGGCAACTGGACTTAGCATACACGAGTACCTACGTGGTAGCTGTAGACATGAAATGGCGGCTGGGTACCCGAAGATCGACCAGAGGAAGACCCTGCTGAGGGAATGTCGTTGGATGGCTCGACGTCTTACGTCTTCGAATGTTCCCTCTCAGAGCAGGGCGTTACTAAAAAGCGCCCCCTCGACGCCGTGCGAGAATAAACGTAACAAAAACTCCCCTTCGCCTCTTGGGGCTCAGAGAGCCTCACCAACCCAAACTGAACCCCCTAAGAACCTTTTCTCCCCTCTGACAACCTTCCTGCCGGCTTTCCTCCCTCATGTCTGCCTGCCTGACAAGCTTTCCTACCCTAACGCTTCTGCCTTACCGACGGTACGGTACGAAGACTTCCGCAGCAACTTATACGTCGCCAATGTAATTCGCGCGAATTTGGTGGAGCGTAGAAGACATGTAGTCGATTATAAAAATCGGTATAAAATTTCCAAGACCTCAACTGGATTGCCAGTCGCTGGGTTATTGAAATTTAGATGTAAGATTAAGGGTAATCTTCTAGAACATTTCCGAACGCCCTTTCAGAGGGGCTAGAGTTAAATCCATTAGTTAATTTTTTAAAATTCTTTCAATACATGAAAATTACTTTTAAACGTACGAAGCACAAGTAGACGATGTCGAATATATCATTAAATGTGTTCCAGTCATATGTACGAGCAGAACGTGTTATCTCTCTACGTTGCCGCATCTTGAAAGATCTTGAAAAGGAACCTTTTTCCCTGGGGCAGAATTTTCAGGTTCTATTCTTTCGGTCGATTTCGTGCAAATGCGAGTCCAAGGTGGATGAGACCCATGAGCAGGTAGGAGAGAGGTAGATATCTTTTTGAAAGAGGCTTAAGCACTGTCTAACCACTGTTGACCAGGTCGACACAGAGCCGGCTACGTCCGATCCCTCCTGCCTGAGGAATTTCCAGGGCCCCTTTTGGGATAATGGGTCCGTGGTGAAGGTTTCAGACCTGTTTGAACTCCGGCTTGGCTCTAGGAGATGGGTCTGACGTTGCGACTGAGGTACCACTGGTGGACGCTTAATTTTAGCGTCCAACCATCGATTTCTGGTAGGTAGAGACTCACACGGTGATTCTCCTACCTATCTGCCAACTTAGAAAACTGAACTCTTCGCCGAGAGGAAACGCCATATTTATCAGAGGTACGGAAGGCTCAGAAAATTCAAATAGAAAACTATAACGAGTCTCACCTCGTTCCTGCGACCTTAACTTCATAAAATGAACTTCCCATTTTCCTCCTGCGACCTAACCAATTGCTGGGATCAAAGCACAACAGTTGAAAATTCTAGTTTATCTACGCGAAATGACTATTAGAAAAGGGATTCTGGTATACGTTTGGCCAATCCCGAAGGAGGCGTTCGCCAAAGAACTAGGATTTTCGAGGACGCGTGGTGAAGTAGTGCGGAAAACGAAGTCCTGAGAGACGAGATACGATTTCTTCCTTCTCCCGAACCAGGTTAGCGACCACCTACGAGCGAGTAACGGAGCTTTCAGCTGCAACCTATGTACGTTCTTAGGAAAACTCCGACATTCGGTGCGTGCTGCCGGGTGGGGGAGTCACTTTAGGAGTTTAATGACCAAACTGCGTCACTGTTGCGTGCACCACGAACACGACTTACTCCAAAGAACCAGAAACCTCCGTTGGTTTAACAAAGACAGATGGAATTTCGACATAAACCAACGTCAAGACAACCGTTCTTATCCAAAGAACATTTTATCAAGATGATGACTATGGAACTCTGCATTTACCATGTTATTAATAAACAAAAATTTATCATACAATCCGAATAAGATCATATGCCTTTAAAGAAACTTAGAGATAAGCCATAAAATTATATCTTACACGCGCAACACCTTTCTGCAAAATCTTAGGTATTACCCAGTTTTATCAATCTCGATTATTACACTGTGTCTGATTAGCAGTTCATGTATCTGTGCTCTAAGGCAATAGGGGGTTCTGAAGGGTTCTGAGACCCCTGAGATCAGTAGCTCTGTATAATCGCATTCAGCTATCGCAACCTCGCATTGGTATCATCCTAGGCAACAGTCCTATTTCAGTGCTCCAGATAGACACGATGATCCTTCTATCGCTAGTCGTACGTGAACCAAGCTGATGCTGGTCCCTCTATGATACATGCGTGTTCGATGGCTGTGACGAAGTGAATCATACTCATACTAAATTATATCTAACGAGTATATCACCGTGAAAAACGTCGCTACGGGCCAAACTTGCAGCTTCTTGACGGCCGGACGCCAGTTGCTCGAGTTGGCCAACATTCAACAAGTGACTGACGCTGACGTGAAGTACGACAATCCTGGATCTTGACCCCGAGGGATGGAATTCGTTTTAGGATGGTGAGCTATACATCTTGTTGGGGTAGCGATGCGATTGGGAATGCGGATAATTCGTAGCGATGTCGTCTAGGGACATTTTCGGAAGGTTGTTGCCTCGGCTCTCACCGCGTTGTTATAACCGGAAATCCAGCGATCGTAAAACTTCGGATTCTATTAAGTCGCTTTGAATCTAGTATAAAGAACCTTCAGGTTGTTTAGTAAGAACTCTGGCAGGAAGTTTGATATACGATCTCAGGTTTTATCGTAAAAAGTACATAAATTATCGATACAGTAAATTACAGAGATATACTAAAGCCACTTATGAGTTTTTTTAATAAACTAGGAATCCATTGATTTTCAGTCATAAAATCATTGTATCATTATCAAGAATAATATATGGCAGAAACGTGACAACGCTCCTATGAAATTTGTTAGATCGTTAATAATAAAGCCCAATTTCGATAAGGCTTGACCAATTGACAGTGCAATCGATCTTTATATGTTTAATAATAATAATTTAAGCTCACCAAGAATCGGTGAAAGCGCGGGGCGTCTCCAAGGGTTAAATCCAGGACTGCGAGGCTTTAAACTGATCGATCATCGATTGGTAGCGTTCAGTCGTGGTGGTTCCCTAGAAAAATGATTAAACGAAGTAAAGCAAAAAAAAATCACAAGAGATAATAGATAGATCAACTCATACTCGATCCCACATAGTAACTCAAGGTATTTATATGTACGTAATCGCAAATAAAATCACAGTCTCTACATATAGTTTCAGTGGATGCTACATGAGAATCTCTTTTCCACTGGAATATCTCCCGTATATATGAATACAAGATACACAGAATGTTTCTTTAATATTCTCTTCGAAGTCATGCGATATTAATTTGCTGTTAATTGCGACGACGAGGAATGTCATTTTCATCCGCAAAGTAGCTGTGCGTCTAGTGAACGATATACCGATTTAACGGTACCGGCACGTTAATATAGCGCGTTTCAATATGTCAACGCGTCGTCATGTATCGAAGGATACGCATAGTCGGTACGATATCAAAGAAATAGTACAATAGTACTAATCTGATACAACGTACGCTACAGGATACACACCAGGTAAAAGCAGTGGCGTGTCGATGCTCAAGAAATTCGGCGCCGTCAGCGAGACGGCGATGTGCTGTTATCGGGCGCCGAAAGTGCGGCAGCGCCAGCAAGAGTCAGGGCATGCATCGTTCTTCCTATAGTGAAACGCGCCACGTCGAAGATCCAGCCTTCGACGCCCGCCGCCGCCCTCTCCAGCTATACATTGCTGGCAGCAGTTCACGCTTCGTTCACGGCACGGTGGAACAATCTCGTTCCCAGAGCTGCCAAAATCGTGGCAGGCAAGTAACCGATGCTAGAAGACAAGCAAAGAGACAGACATTAGAGAACGGATGACGGGCGAGCTCAGTTCGGGGATTCCAAAACCGCTATGGTGGTCCTCTATTCTCTAAGCGTGTAAATATCTACGTATATGCTCTCGTAGGTAGAGAGCGTGCGCGGCCGTACTCGACCGAACATCCAAACGACCGTACGACCGTTGGGTGGACAGACGGACGGCCCTGGCCGCACGAGGAGGCACGAGACTGGGAAAGAGAGGGCCGAGGGGCCGTCATAATTCCTTGAATTGAACGGCGGGTTATTCTCTACCAAGGTTACCAGGGGACGAGCGGGACCGAGCACGGGAATCGATAGGACGACAAGGACGGCGCACGTACCGAGGATGGCGATGGCGGTCTCCCTGGTGGTGCTGCTGTTAGGTAGTGGGGATGAGTTTCAAGGCGTCCCTGTTGACGGCGCCACTGTCGGCCTGAGAACGTCGCTGCGTCGTCGCCGGTGGGGGTTCATGAGAGTGCTGGCTGGACGGATGGTGGGGACAGGAACGGGGCTCTGCGAGAAGTGGGGATAGGCTCCGACGGGCATGAAGCGAGGAATCCGGGGTATACGAAGGTGTCGGTAGTGGGGTGGATGGCGGCGGTGGAGTGGGACCGTGGGGCGTAGAGAGAGGGAGCCGACTTTATGCAGCTGCGGGACGATAACAACGATGGGCTACAGGACCGCCGCTATAGCTGGGGAAATGCCAAATGGGCTACAGGACCGTGCCGGCCTAGCTGTACGTTCGCCCGCTCGTAGTGGCATGGCGGACGGGCGGCAAGCAGGCAGGAAAGGCGGGAAGGAGGGATTTCAAGCGGTCGTCTCTTCTCGTCTGCCTCTGCGCTCTACCACTGCTTCTGCCGGTCCTCTAGAACCTAACCTCACTGTTTTCTAGCAGCGGATGGAGTTTGAGCCGAGTTCTCGTTCGCCCTTACAACCTTCCCGATGCCCTTCGTCACTACGGGTCACCTCGTACGAAGCCACCCTTTGCCGAACGAAGATCATTTCGCTATGGGAATCAAGCTTGCTAGGATAAGCGGCCCCATTTAATGTCGGTCCTCCTGGAATCTTCTATGAGGCCAGGATCTTTTCAGGACATGCGAATCGCATTGGTACTGCAAATTCTAACCATTCCACCTTCATAATCATCGTCATAATTATTTAAACACACGTATTCGACTATAAAGAAAAAGAAACTTCTCAAATGATCAAATACTGCATAGCAAATAGTTGCTTCTCATAATTGCCCAATACACACCGATCTCATACTCTGAACAAAACCTCGCCAGAGATACGTCACTATCTATAAACTACGTATCATACTACCGCATCACCTTTCCCTCGATTTTATTTGAATTTGCCGCTGATTGCTCCAAGGCAGATTGCCACTGACAATCGGGTGATCATCCACGCAATGACGTCAGGCTCGTCCAATCCTGTCCGTACGCTCTCGTTTCACCCCACGAGACGTCAGCAAATGAGAACGCCGCTCGACAAATAGAAAGAGACGGTTGGAACTCTCGAGTCGTCGTTGGAAACGTCGGCCACGCCACGACGAACGAGTGAACGAACCAGCGAGTCTTCGCAATATCGTTACTCGATTGTTGGACCCGTCGTTAGACACATTCTCTACGTATTCGAATAACGCAGTGGCCTGTATATACCTTGCATCCCTTTGCGTTAATTTTTCTATGTGGGTAATGTAACTACGTACAGCTACATACTACGGATGAGATCGAGAAAGATTGAGATGGCTATTCGCCATTTATAATGGATCGAAGGACTTTCGTATCCTGGAGTTAACACTGCGTAGGATTTCAAAGAGGGTTGTGTAAAAGGAAAAAATAAACATATTTACAAGTAATATACAGTACGTGTGGAGCATGGGGTTGCACTGTAACTTTAGTATCTATTGGGTGGAAAAATTATACTATGCAAGACAAGATCTTAAATAAGAATATCCTTAAAAACGATTCGTATGCGAAATTCTTCAATAACCAGCTGAAATCATATATATTTGCTAAATGGATCGGAATTATTCGATTATCTTAGAAGCGTTAAAGAAGCATGACATACATTTAATATTTCGTGAAAGAATTTGAGTACTGCTTATAACTCTTATTTTATTCTATATTAATTCTTTTACGCCAATGCAATATACTCGATGCTTAATTATATTTTTTAATATAACTTTTTTTAATCTACGAATATACTTTTCCGTTAATTATCCTTCTTTCTGTATAAGTCTCGAGTACGCGTATACTTCGCTGTCCTCATCGTCGGTATTATCATCATCCTCGACGTTCCCGTTCACTGTTCTCTTGCGCGCAAAAGAGAATGAATGTGCGAGTAGCCAAGGAGAAAATGCGCACGGGCTCTCAATATTTTATCTTCGGTACTACAAAGTATCTACGTTCTCTCACCCAGAATATATTATCCAAGGATAAGAACTTTCCGCCCAAAGATAGTAATGTACAGCCTTAGCCTGTTACATCCGTCGGATTCAAATTCTTAATATCTGACAATCAAAATTGATTTCTTTCGGCATCTCGTGGTAAAGAGACTACGACGTGGAATCATGGTCGTTCGGCTTCCAGTAACGCCAGTACTAGATTAAAAATACACGTTTCGTCACTACACTGTTAATGTGCATTAACCCCACCCCGCATCACTAGAATCTTTATTACCGCGCGATGGTAACGGGCCAAGAGGAAAGTGAACTTCAAAGCGTCTCGATTCAGAGAGGCACAGATGTCTCTACAGAAGACCAGAGTACGCTGCTAGCTAGCCCTTCTTGTACGTGCAGGAACCAATGGACATCATCTTAACGTCTATATGAGACCAGTGTATATGACAGATTCACAACTGAATACCGATTAATAATTTCTAAAGTATTGGCACGCACGTATGGTACCTGGTGGAAACACCTGAGAATTGTGGAATATTTCGTTCGCATATGAATTTGTCATTAAAATCGATGTTATTTGATGTAAAATAGTGATCACGGCGTCCAGCACTTTCGGAGCTCTTCCCATATGGTCCTTGTGCAATCTGGCTGATAAAAAAGAAATCACAGCTCGTATTACGCTGTTCGGAAGCTTCGAGTGTCCATATCTCCATGTATTAAATTTTTATCACACACGTCATTCTGAACGCGTTTTTTTTTTTAGTATAAAAAAGATCTTTTCCGAGTGAGCGACACTGTATTCATGAAAACGATGTAATGTTTGCATTTTTGCTTTTTGAATGATATTAACAACTTTTGAACGAATTTAATATCGAGCATCTTTCGCATTCTAGGATCTTATTATTCTGTCAGATTCTCAACGCACCGGAGATCGTTGCTGCCCTCGAAGGCTCCATCTCCCTCCCCAGTTGAAAGAGCTCGAAGAGAAAGGCTTCATCTTCTTCATCTTCTATTTGTTGGCCTCCCATGATCCTGTTTTCTTCGCGCGGCCACGGACAGTTATCTGCTCTTCGTTTTCACTTTGGTTTCGTAGCAGTCCGACTGCTGACGATTTCTCATCGATACAGCATTTGGTATATCATTGACATTGCACGATTTAAGAAAGACATTAGTCCGAATGGTCCTTGGAGTGTTGTACGTAAGATGGACACCTACTACTTCCCTGTTTTATCCTGTCACAGAGTACTGAGGAAGGTTTGATTCAACTGGCGAAAGTGAGTTAACCTCGTTGATGTTAAATAGAACAATTACGGAGATATGGTGAATTTCACTATTGATAAATTGCATTTGTCGACTGTGATCAAATTTTACAATTCTTTATTGATAGCTTACTTCCTGTGGCGTTAGTGGCGTAGTTTGATTATTAGATCAATTTCACATTCAGGGGGCTCTTTTATATTGTAATACATAAGAAAGCGTTCCAGCATAAGGAAAAAGATTTCGTGACACAATTAACACTTCTTTTAGTGTTTATGATACAAGCTATAGGTGCGGAGATTGGATATTGATAAATTTCGTACTTACGAAGTATGAATTTTTGGTACATTTGCATTACTGAAAAACTTCAATATAGATACATATATTTTCTGCATTTAGATTAATATACGAATGATGTTTCTATAAAGTAGGCAAACACGAAATATTCAATGGAAAAAGGATTCATTAAGAACGGCGATAAAATTTATTATTTATAAAGACGGAGGCGGATAAATAAATCTTATTACATAAAGGAATGAAATATAAGTCGTACCCGTAAGTTATCATTGCGAAAAGACTAGACACTCATCCTGTTATACACTATTTTAAACTTGATCAATCAAAAAGTGTTACTATTGCCATCTATCGGATAATTCTCGTAGTTATCAATAAGAACCTAATGTCCTCTATGCTTTATTAGCATAACTTGAAGCATAAATTCCGCTTATGCTTTAAATTGTAATATTGTTTGTGGGATTTGTGACGTTTCAATAAAAATATGTTGATTCGATACTATAGGAATTTATTATAGTTCAGACCGGAACAACTTGATGGCGCCCCAATCGCGTTTTCGTTAAACGTGCGCACTTCTATGGATTAATTTTATTAGTTCGTGCGTAAGAAAAAAGTTTATTCAATTCTGAAAAAAAATAAAAAATGTTGAATAATAATTTACTATCTTCAAATTTGCAATAGCATATGCAGACGCCTCAAACGCCATCTGGAGCAAATTATGGGAGTCTGAATCAACACGGCAACTCTAGGATGTATCAGAACGCCATCTACATTACCGTATGAAGTAAAACGTGGAAATAAAAGAACATGTTGTGATTTTGAGATAATGTAGCCAAGTATTACAATAAAAGAATAGAGTAAAAAATCTATAATGTTCGTCCTGGTAAACATGTTTGAGCCTATATATTTAAAAAAATAGAACAAGATCGTGCCGCCATCTAACTATCATGGTTACAATTAAACATATCTTGTAATTTCCAAAAATAGTAGCTTCTGTGCAAGCAGAAACTCACTGGTGATGTACACAAACAGAATTTCTGCCATATCTAGCCATATCCGAACGAATTATCATCAAACTCTGAGACAAGTGATTGCGATCAATATCAATTCAAAATGGTTAACCGAAGATGTTCCGCCAAAACATGTTTCAACGAATCAATTTCCAGACCTGACTTGAAATTTTTTCTATTCCCGAAAGCGGAACATGAGTGAGTACCTTTTCTTCCTATACGTCACGTTCTGTTTTGTATGTATATAAAGTTTTATTTACTTATTGTTTTTTATTTTTAAATCATGCTCTTCGATGTAGAAATACTAAAAATTATTTTTTACAGCGCTCGTATTTGGGCTAAAGCTTGTGATAGACCTGAACTTATGAACAAGAGTCTAGATATACTACGCCGATATGTTCTTTGCGCTGAACACTTTGAGGATCGTTGGTTCATTAACCCACCACACAATACAGCATTTATTAAGACAGCACTTCCAATACCAACGATATTTCGGAATAATATCAAGGAGATCTTAGTTCATCAACGAAAAAACTTATCAGTATCTAATGGTGATGCTGCTGCCACAATCGATACAACGGAACAAACGGAAACTGACAATATGACTATGACGCAAAATTGGAGATTCAACACAGAAGCAGAATTCAATTCACAATCGGTACGCAAGAAAAGAGAGAGAAATAATATGTTTTTAAAATAAATATTTTTTTAGGGAGACAATTCTAATGAAGAGCAAAGGAATGCGGATTTAGTTATCAATGCTTCTGAAGTTAATAAGGAAGATAACACTTATAACTTCTGTAGACTATGTGCATGTTTAATACCAGCCAGTTTATTGAGCTCTATTTATGATACACACATGAATCTAAAGATAAATAAAATATTACCAAACGAGGTAATGATTTTAGTAAATGTAAGTATTATGATCATTATCTATGTAAATTACAACTGTACTTTATGTTTAGGCTCATCTATTTAAGCACGATGGATTGGCTGAGGAAGCATGTAAGTCTTGCATAGATAAATTGACTGTCTGCAATGACACAATACAACAATTTATAAATGCAAATCAAAAATTAAGAGAGTTAAAAAAAAATCGAGTAGAGGAAAATATTAATCAGTCATTATCATCAGTAAGTTATTTAACATCACTGGAAAATATTTACAATTGCACGTGATTCCATGTATTGTGAGAAAACTGCTAATTTTTGTTTGTAGGAAAGTACTTGTCGCACAGAAAATGATACAGCTCATCCAGAAGAAAATTTACAATTCAATTCAAGTCAATGCTTTGATGTAAATTTGAATCATAAGTCTGATACAACCATTGTGGATATTAAAGAGTAAGACATTTTTTAATATAGACTAATATGTCTACATTATTATAATATAAATAATTTCGCTATATAATCATGACACCTTTTACAGAGAGGATAGTGTTGATGTAGAAAATGAATTAAATAACACTGAAATATATTTCCAAAAAACTAAAACTACAAGTATGAACTCACAGAAGTCGTCGTTGTCAAAGTCAGTATCTTTGAATAATAATAATAGCGAAGATACACTAGAAATTTCTCAAATTACAAAACCAAAAAGAAGTATGTTATCGGAATATCGATCGAATTCTAACAGAATCAAGTGTCCTGAAACTACAGTATTCAAGTGCATGATATGCAACGAGGAATTTCTTAATAGAAATTCAGTAGTGGAGCACAGTATAGCAATCCACGCAATCAAAGGTAAAAAACACGAGGTAAAATATACCGTGACTAAGAAAAAAATTGAAAAGAGGAGACAATTAAAAAAGTATCACTGTACTAGCTGCCCCTTGGAATTCACTAATTGTCAAACTTATCAAGCTCATATGAAGTGGCATCCATCGAGGAACAATACGTACGAATACTGTGACAGATACTTCATATTACAAAGCAGATTAGAATCTCACAAACGATTGCATTTCAGTCAAAAACCATACCAGTGCAATATTTGTAACGAGTCATTCGTCTTTATTAACAGTCTTAAGCGTCATAAAAAGTCTCACATGGGGGACATGTCATTGCATAAATGTAAAAGATGCAACAAGATGTTTCCCACGATAGCTCTTATGCAAAGACACACTAAAGCCCATTACGAAAAGAGGGTCTTGTGCAATTTATGCGGAAAACTTTTGTCTTCTCCACAAAATGTACAATATCATCTGACAACGCATAGCGAAGAACGACCATTTTCTTGTACGATTTGTTCAAAATCATTCAAGACCACCAGTAAATTAAATTGTCACAATAAAAAACATCGAGTAGATCATAGATTCGAGTGTAATTTATGCGACAAGAAATTCCGTATGAAATCATTGCTTAAACAACATATGAATACGCATTTGGGTGAGAGACGTTATTTTTGTGAAATGTACGGTGCTCGATTCAATAGGTATGGAAATCTTACTAAACATAGGAAACGACATGCGGTGTCATCAGCATTAGAATCATCATACACTTGTGATATTTGCCATAAGAATTTGAAAACTGCATTTGCATACAAGTATCATATGGTGAAGCACAGTGAAGAGCGACAGCCATACTCTTGTGATATTTGTGATAAACCTTTTAGGCAAATTGCACAGTTAAGAGTTCATAATAGATTGCATACTGGTGAGCGACCTTATGCCTGCACTGAGTGTGGTCAACGATTTCGGACAAAAGCAACAATGGATCAGCATTATATAACTTTGCATACAGATAATTATCCACATGAATGTCCTTATTGCGACAAGCGTTTTAAACGGCTACATTCATTAAACTGTCATAAGAAAACTCATACTGGAGAACGTTCATACGTATGTCGGATTTGTTATCATGCTTTTGCACAAAAAGGTGATATGTTGAAACATATGAAAATACATAGTCAGAGGGGCTTAGACAGTCATTTTCAAAGAGCACATAATCAATCATCAAATAGTGATTTTCTTGAGGAATCAACTACCGACACAGAAGATTCAGAATGGATGACAGAAGTGGATTGTAGCGAGGAGGATATAACAAATGATTATCTAATGACTGATGATGAATTGAGAACTAAATACAATTAATTATTAAGCAAAGGAACCTTTTGTACACTTATTTATGTAGTTAGGCATACCTATATGTATATAGTAGTGATTTGTATATTAATCTTGTTCGTTTATTAAATTTATATCTATCTTACCAATTGATCCGTCATTGCTATCAGTAATACGTGGATTCGGGTTAAGATAAAGGCAAAACGAATAAATTCACATTTTAAAATTGTGTATTTCCAGTACCAAAATGTTTAATACATCTTGTCCTTAAGATAAAGTCAAAAGCCTAGGTACATGGAGAGGATGCTTATACGATTGCTTTGATAAATAACAAGCATAAAATTATAGTCACATTCGAATCGTTCACTCAGTAAATACTAAAAGATAATTTAAGTTGGTAAATATTGATAATTAAATAAAAGTATACACGTATACCTTAAGACTGTAGAAGATACCATACAAAGAGTGTTGTATCGAAATGAAAACGTATGATACTCGTTCATTGGTGATTGAATGTGTATAAAGCCTTGTACAAATGTGAATGATCTCGAATAATGATGACTACTATTAAATGCTCCACATTGAATAAACTCCACTCCACGTTGACCTAAGCATCACGATGACAAGCAACTGAAACAGGATTATAGTGGGTACACACTAAAAGAAGTATCTTAATTACAACTATCGCGTAATGTAATACATAGTAGAGCATGTTTGACATATGCAGTACAGCGTACAAAAAGATAATGATAAACAATACAAATAAAGTAACTTAAAAACAAGAGGAATTAGAAATACCGTTTTTTCGTAGTCTTATGAAACATAATCGCAATGCTACTAAACTAAAATTAAACAATACGTTTTAATTCTACGTGTAGTTCTTGAATTTTATAACTAAATATAGTAAGTTATTTTGTAGTTATACGCTATATGCGTATACCCCAGTCTATGGTGTTACTCGAATTTTATGAATGATACATCGCCATTGACCAACTAACAGCAAGACTTCCGTTTATAATCGCGACAGCGGATTCGCGATTTTTTCACGGGATTCTGGTAGAGACTAGATTAGGTGCGCGTGACATCCATACTCATGTAATCAGATGGAATTATAGAGTATCTCATATGGCAAGTAGACTAATGGGAATGAATCCGTAAAACAGCCAGAAAGTGTTGTATACGTGACTTAGAAATTAGGCTCTTATTAAAATGACTGGGATCCGCGTGGCGAATGATTCGTTTCATTTTTTTTCTTTCCTTTCTTGAAAATAGTGCGATAAGACAATTTTTATAATTAATGCAGTCTTTGCTTAGGCAGTTGGAGAAATTCACCGGAGACAATTGTTAGTTGGTGCCTGACCTTATCAGTGACGTTATTTCGTAATCAGCACTACTGGAAACGCATTATCAAGTAGCGCCAAAGACTTAGTTCTAATTACAATTACTTCGAATTAACGACAGTAGTTAATATTTTTACTGTGACAGGGATTAATTATATTATTTTTTTGCATCCGTTTTGTGTGCCTGTTATTATATTGGTTAACGTGGTTCTTTCGTGACAATGGAATGATAGACGTGTGATCACCATTTGGATTCATATACTCCGTTATCATAATTAATAAAAATTATTCGATTTCAAGATTTCAATTAACTAAACTCTAATTAAATGATATCCATATAATAAACACGTCTTCGACAGTCTTGCAAATTTTGGGAATGACATATAAAACCATCGAAAATGACATTACTGTAAAGCTATAATGCAAACTATCTAATGTAATTAAAACTTAATGCGAAATAAAGTCTAGATAGTAATAATATCATTTTTGAAAGTATCAATCTTTCAACTTTAGCGATTGTCAACAGAAATACCAATTCTTTAACGAAGCACTCAGTAGTGTAACAACCTCTATAAACGATCCTTGTTCGAATGACTTTTTTTTCTCAAGAATTTCAGACAAATTAATAAAATGTATCGCTAATAATTTATATATATATACAGGGTGTCCCACGACTTATTCCCCAACGGGCACTGGCATATTCTCCGTTGAAAATAGAACAAAATGCAATTTGTCCGAGTGAAATCGGTTGCAACGTTCTCGAGAAACTAAATATTAAAAATTTAGAAATATCATCATTTTAAGTAAGTTCCAATCATCACCAAAAGAAAACAATAGCAGTAGAAAAGGAAAGTGGCGGGCCTTTGATTCTGTGAACACATTCGCTCAAGTAGAAACTGTAATATTATCATTAGACTATGACTTATCGGACATGAGACATGATGATATTTCTAAATTTTTAATATTTATTTTCTCGAGAACGATGCAACCGATTTCATTCGGACAAATTGCATTTTGTTCTATTTTGAACGGAGAATATGCCAGTGCCCGTTGGGGACCAAGTCGTGGGACACCCTGTATATTGAAATAAAAGATCAAGCAATTAATCACTGAAACGTTCATATACATATTTCGATATTTAAGATTAACCTATTAGGTCCATTGATTATAAGATACGCTTACTTAAAAAAATTCGTAAATTCTTTTACTAATCATAATACCCTATTAGTCATAATTTGGCAGGAGAACTCGAGAAGTAAAGTATTACTTATTGCATTGTGGCATAAAATTTGAGTCTCTCATTTCACCATAAAGAATATAACGATAAATCGACGTTAACATTATACTCTAGATTACAGCTGCTCTAGTACAATTAGCATATCGTAAAACAATTATAAAAATTGAAAAAAAAAAAAAATGATTTATCGCTCGTAAACTCGCTCTGGGGTTTCTTGACTAGCCGAATTTTTACTAATCTAATTAAAAATGACAATCGTGCGTGATCGGTCCCCGATGTCAAATGGATTAAAAATGATTCGGTTGTTAGTAGGTGATACAATGAATGACAGTCAAAGAAGTCGGGTGATAACTTATAAATGTTTTATTTAATTTTTGTTCTTTCTTGAAACTTAGAAAACTAATCAGATTAAAAAGTCAATCATAGTTGAGCATTTCTTGATTTTAACATGAAATTTCGATGACCTCTGGAGAACCCTGACCATTGACGCAAACATTAATATGAGTGATATGAAGTGATGATTTAAGGTGATGACGTGAAAGTCAGCCAAAAGGTACTCCGCATTCGTCGTTATTTCACGCTAATATCATAATGTTACATCATAGTCGTGGCAGTCTATCAGAATACGTCATTAACGATTGGTTAAGGGGCTGCTAAGGAAACGTTCTATAGTTACAGAATCCAATATGGCGAAAGATAGAAATACGTTCCAAGTTGTCACAGTACCGATTGAAGTTCAATATTCCCGAGCACAGGATAAGCTCCATAAACAGTTAAATGATGGGAATGAATAAGTAAAACAAAAAATATATATAACTCAATGATACCTTAGCAGAGAAATCCACTAGAACCGAATTACCACATAGACACAAAATTTAGACATGTAAAAAAAAAATGTCAAACAAACACATCACTATGGAACGACGGTAAGAATGTCAAACGGCAATTTTTTTAACGCGACAATGTAGCCACTGCTACTGGAAAGTCAGTGCACAGCTTATTCTATTGCTCGTTATATAAAACTGAAGTGTAAGTATATATACTTTTTTAATTATAATTATCTAAGAAGACTTCCCGAAATGCACGACAATAAGTTAACAATCCCCACGATTTCTCTAATCAATCTCGCAATTGTAATCTTAATTAGCCTAGCCACATTGGATTGACCATACTTACAGGACTTTATTATATAAAATAGTTATAAGGACAGAGAGTCAAACGGACGAATCTAGACAATCAAATCGTTAATACTCCATACATTAATGCTAATACGAGAGCGAGTCTGGAGTCGGTGATATCTCGAATTGGATGAGAATGTCGATTGTATAATGACGATGATGTCAAAGATGCGTATTACGCGTATAAAATTAAACGCTCTACTCGATTAGCATTATTTTAATGTATCCCGCGTAGGAACAAATCGAGCGTTGTAACACCGTTTGAATGTTCCCATGCTGATTTTGACTCAAGTATTCCAACCGGATGTTGTCGTCTCGTAGATGGATCTAGACCGCCTAGAGAAGGAGATACTGTCCCCTTTAAAATTCCACAGTTAATACAAACTATCGGCTAAATGCATCTGAAAATGATTATAGAACATGTTACACCACACGTGCTCGTGCCTTTTGTCTCTTCTATTATTTGTCGTGATCGGTCGTTGGTACTCGTTCCTCTTTTTTTTTTTGTGTCCACACATCGTGTCAATTCTTTCACATATTGACTCTGAATGCATAAGTCGCCGGCAACGGGCTGGACTGCGAATTCGTTGATCTCTCATAAACAGACACATTGGCCGGATCAGACACTGTCCACACTTCATTTCGTTCAGACAATAACGCAGAATGAAATACTATAATGATTTACGTCGCGAACCGAGCTGAAATGGGGATAATGATGAATCCCTCAGTTTCCCTAAGTCTATTAATATCCTTAGATCACAGTCAATTTTGCCGACGGAAATAATAATAAATAAATAATTTACTCTCCTTCGTATCCCAGAAACCTAGCAATGTACAAGCTGCCACATCAAACGCCAAGCTGATGTCATTTCGCTCGTCGACAAATTGCTTCTCGTACGTCTTCCCCTAGTGATCTCGAGTTACCAAACTTCGTATTCAGCATCGTGTTTTAATTATTCACGGAAAATTGACAGCATGCCAAATGCGAAAGGAATAACCGTAATTTCGAAATTGACTTACGAGATACGAATTCACGAGTAATTGCTCCACTTAAGATCTTTCGAATGTATCAGCGTTGGCAATGTTCAAGTTGAAATTACGATGATACGTCATTCTTAAATTGCTATGGCGCTCATATATTGGATAATTGTAAATCATGATCGAAAATACGACGACGATTGCGTTATTGTATAGATTTAAAAGCACGATCGAACTGAAGTCTTAGGATAGTTAATTGTCCATTAATCGCGTGGCATGTCTGTGCAACGGTGAAAGTAATCTCAAAAGTTCTTCAGAGACAAGTCAAAAGTAATATGGTGGCTGTTGGTTTGTCCAGGCCCGAGACCTTCTTAAGTACACAAAACGCAAAAGGTATATTGCAGTCTAAAGCCGGCGACTCTGTACGACGATATTGATTTCAGTCTTAAAAACATGCTTAGTCAAAAGTTTTTTCGTAGTCGTATAGTGAGAGGAAAAGATAAAAGAAAGAGATAGAGAGGGATAGAAAAACTAAATTTTGGAATTGGTAATAATCGAAAAATAGTGATGCCTGCCATCTCGTATAGTGTCGGAGAAGTGTGACGAAACGACAATTAAGTTTCATTTGGCACAGAGTATATTCAGTATAGAGATACTCCAACTATGATGATATTACCTAGCCTATTGGTTTTCGTATCGTAATAACATCTCGTTAAGTCAGTATTAAAAAAAAAAAAGAAAAAAAGAGTGGATACGCAGTATGCTCAGTACGAGAAATGTCAAGAGATACACGCAAATTTATCACAGCGAATGGCAAATTCGATCATCCCTAGATTTGCATCTACAAGAGCATGTGAATTTAATAAAATAAAAGAAAGAAGGGGAAAACAAAATATAAGTTGGAATGCGACAAACATAAAAAAGCTTCTAATACGATATTGTCATAAAATTGAGATACGAAATACTTGTGCAATGCTTTAAGTCTGAGAATGAGTCGATGAGAAGAAAATAGAAAAAAATTTTGTCTATCAACGCAACACCGAAAATATCAACGCTCATGTCAAAATAGCGGAACACGAAGCCACTTAATAAAACTATAATTATTAAAAATATCAAAATCTTCCAATAGGAACATGGTTGCAATGAGTTCTTTTAGACGTACAATCATTTCATTATCCGAAAGACAATCGAATCTGAAACACGCTGTACACCTCGGGTTTCATTTGAATCTTTCTTTTTCTACGAAGGAACAATATTCCTATGAGCTGCGTCTTAAATTACCGCTTTTACGCTTAAACGTTGTATGATTCGTGTAGGTGTGGGGAGACAACTTTATAGTTTATACTTTAAGATAAGTGTTGTTGTTGCTCGGGGGTTGGGGTTATGTATTAAGGACTCCTTAAATTGTATAAGAACGAGATTAGGACGTCGCGGCTACAACTACAGGTGGGACAACATCGGGCTCGCCCGCACCTTCGGCTACTGTGGAATCTACGACCTTTTTAACCTTTATGGTTTCCGTGCTGGCACCAGACGATGTCTCAGGTTCACCATTCTGCGCTGGGGTTCCTTCCTTCGTCTTCACATTGGTCTTCTCACTAGCTGATTCCTCGTTCAGACCATTTCTATGAGGTTTTTCTTCGGTTGTTGCCACGGCCGAGTTTCCATTTTGCGTCGTTCCGTTGAGTTTTTTATCCGCGGATTCCGCAGTGTTTGTTGCAGCCTTAACTTCGTCTACCTTCTCTTCTTTCAAGGATTCCTTATTCGCATCCTGCTTCGACTTGTCAGCACTTTTATCTTCCTGCTTTTCATTCTCCGAATTAGCCGCCACTTTAGTCTCCTCTTTATTTTTAATTTCGGTATCGTTTGACTCCTCGGACTTCGCTACAGTCTCGTTTTCGGTCTTTTTATCGGTTTCTGCTTGTTCCTTCGTTTCGCTCTTTGCTTCCTGTTTACTATCATCAGTCTCCATTGTCGTTATCGTTGGTGCTTTTGCTTTTTCAGGCTCTGTCACCGCGGATGTACCATTTTCTTTGACTACATCTTTCACGGGAGTCTCTTCTGATTTTTTCGCCTCGTCTTTAGATTTTGACGGCGTCTCCTCTGCTTCGGTAGGCGTTGTTTTTTCTGATTTACTTACTGCTTCTGATTTAATCTCTTCTGTTTTAGTAACCTTCTCCTTCGCAGACTCCTCTGGCTTGGCTTGTCCCTTCACTTCATTTGCAACTGACGTGGCTTCAGTAGATTTGGTTTCAGTCTCCATTTTCGGTTCAGCGTTTGAGGACTCCGGAATTTTCGCAATATCTTCAGTCTTGTTCTCTACAGCTTCGGAATCTTTTTCAGACTTTGATTTTGGCTTGTTCGTGCCTTCTTCCATACGTTCACTAGCCTTAGTCTCAGTCTCTGCTTCAGTAGTCTTATTATCCTTTTCGGCTGTCTTAACGACTTTCTCACTGACAGTGACAGCAGCATCTGAAACTACAGCTTTATCAGTTTCATCCACGGTGGATTTTCCCACAGCCTCTTCCGATTTCTCGAGCTTCTCAGACGTTTGCGGCTTGTCGCAAGTTTTTGCCTCAGACTTGTCTTTCTCGGCTATTTCAGAAGCAGACTTATCTACTTTCTCCGCGGATTTCTTGTCCGACTCTATCTTACCATCAACTTCCATAGACTCACCTTTCTTTGATTCGGAACACGTAATTTTATCCCCCGATTTCACATCCTCTTTCTCTGGTTTCTCCGATTCTACAGCTTTTTTAGTCTCAACCCTTGCTTCACTAACATCAGTCATTTCTACGTCCTCAGAAGTTTCCATAGGCTCGTTGATCGTTTCTGACTTTGCAGCTTCCTTCGGGACTGCCTTCTTCTCTTCTGCTTCAGGTTTGTCTAATTTCGCGCGCTTGGCAGACATTTGAAAGGACAAATCCAGGAAAGAATTGATAGTTGTGAACGCAGCTTTATCTTCGTCGGTGAGAGGCGCATTTCCTTCTCGTAGTAGAATCATTGCGGACATACCAGCTTCCTTAGCAGCTTGAGCCTCTATTAGAAAAGATAAAATGATTATCAAACAAATTCTAGCTTCACAAGGGCATCAATGGTATCCTTGCTGTTTGGTCGTCGTAATTAAATGAAGAAAGCAGTGATTAGTACTTAACAATTTTCTTGCATGCAGAGCCAGAAAGTATTTATAAATAAATAGATAAATAGTCAAATGCTACAAACCTTTGACAACATCAGTTAAGAAGAGTACATTAGATGGCTCCACGTCAATTTGTTTTAGTATATTCTTGTAACTAGCGACCTCCTGCTTCATTCCCACACTCGTATCGAAATAACCGCTAAAATACTGTAAAATATATTTTTAAGTTTATTATCACAAATATCAATTCATCTTAGGCAAATTTTAACTGAATACTTGACAGCTAACACCACGCAGGCATTCCTTTTTTTATTCGAACAAAGTCATAACTAACAAATATATATTTAAATAATTCCTTAAAAAATCAACAACTTATATAGATCAATGATCTCGTACCTTAAGAAGATCGCCGTACTTAGAATGTCCAAAGAGCAATTTCTGAGCTTCCACACTGCCGCTAGAGTATACGTAAACCTTTCTGCCAGTATCAGCAGTCCACGATTCAAGAGCTTTCGGTACATCTTCATAAACGCTAATGGAATAATATTTAATTACAATAATCACTATCAATAACAAAAAAAGGTGTTAATCTTAAAACATTTCAATAATCTTATTTAACCTATCGGTTGTCTAAATGTAAAATATCTAAATGAGTATAATATTATTCAGTCGACAAGAAGAGAATAGCAAAGTGCATAGATCGTTGATCGCAAGATACAGCGCGTTATCTTTGGATCTCGCCATGTGCCTGAGGTAAAGCCTTACGAGACCACAAGGCTGTCTCAAGGCCAGTAACCCAGAACACCAATATAGACTCGCGCATGTACACAAACCCCGTCTCTCCCCTTTCTCTCGCAACACGACTATCTCAACCACTGAACCCCACGCCCTCATGTTCCTCTCACGTATTCACGAGTTGTCCATGCACGCCATGCACTACACTTGAAAAAGTATTCGTGAGCAGAGGTCACGCACGCATGTGTTAAATATGAAACAGGCGGTGGTTATCATATGACTTGCTGAACGTAAACCGAAGATAAAAAGGTTCCGCGCGTATGCTCGAAAATAGATACTGTAAAGCTAAGAAACTGAATTAAGTGTCATCGTAGCGTTCAATGATAATTTTGTCTACACAGATTTCATGTCCATAATACGTGTAGGTATCGATATCATTGAAAATTGTATGTATCATTAAATATGTCCGGTGAGCCAGTGTTACGTGTATTCACCTTATCTTTAAAATTATTATCGTCCGTCAGGAACAATTTGCCACGTGTATTTTCGTTTACATAATATGCTGAGTACGTATGACTTATTGGTAAATATGTCAGATTCTCGTTTGATCGTAAAGTGTTTTTATAATCGTAAGGCATTGTGCCGAGTGCTAATGTTATATGATACACCCGCTTGTTCCATGTGGTCCTACCTAATACATTGAAATCGAAAAGTCTTATCATGTCGTTGAAAGCGGTGTGTAACAAATTGGTCCAAAGAATGTAATCAATCATTTCACACTAGCCATCAACATCTGATAAATATGATATAGAGTAATGTTTATATCTTCAAATGTGACTTTAAATATTTAATTTTGAAGGTAATATTTTATGAGTCTTCAAATGAAAATTCATTGTTATGTTAATGGCTCGTAGTGGAACGCGATCACAGTCACTCTCATTGATCTAAAATTTTGAATGAACAATAAAGAAATAACTTACTGTCCCTTAACCGATCCAGAATTGTAAGCTTCGCGCCACATATGTCCTTGAAGTTGTTTCAGAGCACCAGTTTTACGATCGGCATCCATTTGCCAGAGAATATTCTTCACGAGAGATTCACGCTCTTCTTCGGGAGTAGCACCTTTGATTGGTACAAATCCTGCAACCTTATCTTCCTCATCTTTCTTTGCCTGAAAGGAAAAGAATTTTTATCTGTTTTTGGTAAATTGCTTAAGGTTTTTCTCACGTGCACATATAAGATGTTCTGTCGAAAACGATTTCTATTTTAAAATCTCACAATACATTGCACATTCTATTTATTTAATTTTAGAAAGATATCTGATGTAGTCAAAATTACAATATTGATTTTCAATATTAATATTACTATATTAATTGAAGATGTCGTGACGTGCTTATCTGAAAGGTGATGCGAGTATGAAATCAACTGTATGATGAAAAGCATGTGTTTTTATAATGTTTATTCAACAAACTAGTTGCGTGTGATGAAAAAAACTGAAAATTGTATACCGTGTGTCAACAAGACGCCTCCGCGATTTAACGAATGTAATTCTTTTTGTGAAAAGTATGTAAAATATTTCTGAAACTGAACTAGAATATATTTCGTTCAAACGGACCAAGTTTTGAATGGTGACTTGGAGCTCATGGAAAATCTTTTACTCCTTTGTGAGAGGCTGAAGGACAGGCTGGTAATATTTTGGGACAAAGAAATACTCAGGTCAGAACCTGACAGCTGACCAGCTGTCTCTACACTACTGCACCACTGGCTTCTAAGCCTTATTGTTAAATCCTAAACTTAATGTCGCATTTCTATAGGCAACCTCACAGTCTTAACTAAGATATATAAAATTTATAACTCAATGACCAGTGACCAGATGTATTTTGTTATAAATTATATTACACAAATGTTAACATTTTTGGTAATAACATTATTCATTGTTTTTGCATTGTAACAATTAAGTTGTGTACAATGATCATCGTTTTAACGGAATATGAAAATAAGATTCAAATTTGAAATCCTTAATTTTGCAAGTGCCACTATTATGGTCACATGACAATAAAGCTTACCTGTTCTTTCAATTTTTCAAAATCTGTTTTAAATTCTGCATCATCCCATTTTTCTTCAACGTATGTTTTCAAATTATTTCTAACGTATGGAAATAGAGTTTCCTGAAACAAAAATATTAAACACTTAGTTTACACGTTGATTTTGATTTGAAAAAGTGATTGATTTTCGGAAGTAAGACGGTATTCCGCAAAAAAAAAATAAATAACAGATTTGTGCAATTCTGTTACTTCTCCGCCCGACATCAGGGATATAAGCAGAAATTAGCATTTTCTTATTTGTTATTTCCATAACCGGTTACAATAAAAAATAACAAAAGCTTTCGTCATTGCAGCTCGTTTTTCACGTTATCGGAGTTCCAGCCAGATAGTATGAAACGTCTTGAATTCCAGTAGCATAATATTTGTTATTAAACAATTGCTATACTACACATTATAAAACGAGGGTGTTACAATCCAAGAATCATGGAAACAATTACAAAACGGCAAGCCGCAAGAATAGCGGAATTTCTTGAAGTCTTTCGAAGCATTACAACCAAAAATGGCTGCTCCGATCGGTACGCAACATTTCGACAAAATACTTGAATGAATTAATTCAAGTATGGAAAATGAGATTTGAAATGCGTTATTCTTAACAATTTTCATCGTTCCCATTGCACTAGAGATGGCGATAAACGAACCATTAATTTCAGTCTACCACGATTTGTTATTATCGTCATTTCATAAGAGAATACGTCGGGGAAATATGAAAATGTCGGCTACAATGATAAATCCCTCGAGAAGATGTAGTTTCCCGGGTAGTTCAATGAATATTATGCTTAGAAAGGACAATTTGGATTTTCGCGAAATTCGCCGTCCTGCGGACTGGGAGCCTCGAACTGGATCATAGCCGGCATACTACTCCGGCACATGGAGGATAGCTCGAAAATATTTCATCGTAATTTTCGTGCTTGTTGAAATGACGCGTGCACTCGTTTAAGATTTCCCGCGGATGGATTTTCTCCTGACAAAATTGGGAATCACGTCGTACTGTCAGAGGATTATGTATAAAACGAAAGAAATGCGAGCACCGGGCGCGTTCCCATCTCGGCCATGCTCTTTGTTACCTTTACGAAACTTATGCTCGTCGTAGTGCCCTCGATGTCAACTAGAACGACGCTTTCTGTGAGCAGGGTCTCCTCTTGGTCTTGGGAACGTTTTTCTCCGGCCATTTCCACAATCGGCTCGCCTTCCACCGTTAGATAAATAACAGATATATCACCTCAATTTGGTACCGCGCGGTGTATATCTCGAAGCGTTCTTGTGAACCGGCGAATGAGTTCTGTTGGCCGCGCGCCGGTGTGCGTGCGAACTTGCCCCCACTGGTGCCCGGTAACCAGGTACGTACATATTCTACGGAGCCCTTGGCAGGGGATTCATGTACTCTAAGGGTACTGTGCAAAACAATTTAAAACTAACTGTCCTGCTATCAAATATTATACTTAAGTACGTGTAAAATTCATAGGTATTAAACAACATTATGAGGACAGCTATAATGCCGAGAATCAGCGATGTTCTCGTCTAAATGTCGAACGTGCTTTTACAACAGACAATCAGAGTACTACCCTTTGTCCAGAAAATATTTGACTTATATATAGAAATTATTTGAGTTATATACACGCGATATGTGTGATGGATGAACGGTTATGGTATATTCATATTGTATGATATGAATTACTTAATTGTATAAAAAATGGGCTTGGATAGTAATCCTATAAAGTAGGTATGGGTAAACATGAAAATTTATTATACTACAGGGCTCTATTACTAGTGCCAGCCCTGAGGGCGACCGAAAATGGCACGGTTGTGTAAGTTGCGTATATATTGAAAGAGAAATGTGAGCATCACTGTGTACGTCGCTCGGTTGCTTTTAGCCAATAGGAAATGTCACCCTGCAACTCCACATCCGTAACACGACCAACCACTCCTACGCAAATGTTTAAATTCCTAAAATTTCCTTGTAAAATTCAAAAAAAATCAAACAAATTTTTATAATATCTTTAAAAAATTGTGAGGTCTCATATGGAACCATTTTTCAAAACATCCGATCGTTCATATATGAAAAAAGCGTGCATGAATATCGACTACTTCGCAACTCCTCCGGTATTACTCCGCCTAAAAGTAGTCCCTGGTAGAATATTTTTTCTTAATTTTCAGGAAGACGACGCAATACTTGCAAACTATTAGTAGCATATAACAATTGTTCAAAATTTATTAATAATTTTTTAGTTGGAATATTCGAAGTTTATTCATTTTTAGGGCAAGTTGTATCTGGGTATTTAAAAATTGCAACGGTTTCTCGAGCTTGTAACAGATAGATACACAGCTGGAATATACAACCACCTGATTTTTGCAGACTCCCCGCTTCACTTGTCAAGGCGCTACCATTTAAATTTTGACACACGCTCCTATGTACACGTGTGCCGACTGTCAAGGGGCCGGCAGACTATCAACACATGTTAGGATATAATGAATATGCTGAATGTCATTTTTTAAAATGATATTAACTCACTAGAATAACGTACGTGACATAATTTAATAAAATTATTATTGTTCAGTAATAGATCAGTAAATATAATTAATTATTATAAAGCATTTTTTTATTTAATATCATAATAAACTTCAAGTCTGTGTCACAATCATATTTTAGGAAATTTTATGGTCCACAGTGAAAAAATATAGATCAAATTTAGGGAAACGTACATTTTCAACGATGTAATATACACGCCATTAATAAATATGTGATAATTAAGTATTTAAATATCTTCTTACTTTTTTAACAGTCTTACATATTCCTATAGCGGTAAATAATTTGTAAAATCATAATTTTTTTCTGAAAACTCTTTTTCACTGAATATTTATATTTTGACATCGTATATATTAGCATTTGCCGTTTTATATATTTTCGAGTATAGCTGCATATGCCACACGGCTTAAAATCCACGATTGAGGTATTATATCCATTATTTATCAAATAAAACATTGGTTCGATAAAATTTCTACAAAAACAATTTTTGGAAGCTCATAATTTTATAGTATAAAATAAACCATAATGTGCACATTTTCTTAACATTACCTAATTAGATAGAACTTTAATAGTTTTTTATCATGTAACAGCTTCTTCAGTATGTCTGCATATTACTGTTCAAATATATAATTTTTGGTATATTGGTCTACAAACAAACGGAATATTAACTGTATTTGTTTTTCATTAGTCAGTAGTGTCTACAAAAATTTTATAAACTTAATTTAAATCCTATTGCCTAATAAAATAACGAAGAACTTACGCCTTAAAAATATGTAAAGTCAGCACCTTTTTTCAGCGTATGATACATACTTAAACAACTTATCTATTTCCTAACTCTTATATGACTATTGTATTCGTATTATTGTGTGACACAATAGTTTCCTCTGAATTGTAAATTTCAATGTTAAACATGAACACGGACATTGTCCAACATCAGTTTTAATTCAGCAATCCATTTTTTTTTATGACGCATTGATGGAGAAACATATTAAAAACTGAAACTGAACTTAGATGACATGTATAGAGACACGTAATCCGTTTGTGTGTAATGCTATATTCATAAAATTCACAACATTAAAGAATGAGAACTTGTTAAGATTTAGACTAGATTACTATCTTCGTTACTATATACATGTACACTATTAAAAATTATCTTTCCTTGTGATGCAATAGCTTAAACTTCATTTTTAACACAAAGAAAAATTGTTTTTCCGTATTGATATTATTTAAAAATGTACACTCCCTATATCATTTATTTGCTTAGTATCCTTTATACATTTTCCCTTATGTAATATCATTCTGTGACTGCTGTTTCTCGGCCATATGAGTGTTTAAATGACTTCTAACGCCATGTTCACCAAAACATTCTTTCCCACATTCCGGACAATAATGATTATTGCCTTCATCGTGTTCTCGTTTTCGATGCTCTCGACGTTGAGTTGTAGTAGCGAATGCTTTGTCACAATGTGGACATTTATAAGGACGTTCTCCAGTATGTTTTCGTTGATGATGATCACGGGATTCCTTAGTGCGAAACGTCATTTCGCAATGTTCACAACTGAACGGCTTTTCTCCAGTATGCAATAAAATATGATTATGTAAAGACGTAGACTGATTGTACTCTTTACCGCATTGAGCGCATTTATACCGTTTACCACCCTCGTGTTTATTCTTAATGTGATTCGAGAGTACCCGTGCATTCTTATATGTGATGTCACATATATCGCAATGATAAACGGGCTTCATTTTACCCTCGTGAACCCTCTCACGATGAACTTTCAAAGACATTTGATGCTTGAACTTTTCGTGACAGTCTTCGCACTCAAACCATGGTTGCAATTCAGTCAATATAGGATCCTGACTCTCCACGCTGTGAGTCTCTTTCATGTGCTTTTTCAGAATCCGAAAAGTCGGAAACATCTCCATACAAATAGAACAACTAAACACTTGTGGTAACGTCATCGTCTTGTCATTCTTCCAGTGTCTCTCCAAGTGTTCGTTCAAATCCTGCCTTTTTCTGAATGCCTTCTTACATATCTGACACGGAAATCGTTTCTCTGTGATATGAGTTTTTTTGTGAGAGCGTAGCGCATTATTCGTCATACATCGTTGTCCACATATTTCACAGGCGAATGGTCGTTCTCCACTATGACTTCTCATATGCTCCTTTAACCGTGCTTTGAATTGATAAGATTTTCCACAAAGCTCACAAACGTGTGGTCTTGCACCTTTGTGCACATACAAGTAATGCTCGAACAAAGCTTGTTCAGTACTGAGTTCCTTTCCACAAGTACTACATACAAATTCCTCCATATTTTCCGAGTGGCGCATTATGTGATACTCTAGGCGATCTTTTGTTGTAAAATGTTTGTTACACATGTTGCAGTGGTACTGACGACGTGATATTACCTTAGCACCATCGGAATCTACTTGCAAAGACAGTCCAGGTCTCTCACAATTCGAACAGGTAACAGCATCGTTTATCAAATTTGGGTCTACACCCCATACTACTTCTCCACAGAGTACGCAATTTACGGATTTTATTTCTATTATCTCTTCAGCTATCACCTTTTTAAAAGCAGCACTGTCTATTGTTATAGCATTGTCATCCGTTTCGATATCTATTTCTTTTGTACCTTTGTGACCGTATTTGACTTGATGCCTACTCAACATTGACTGTTTGTGAAATAATTTTCCACATGTAGTACAAACGTAACGTTTCGTGCGTTTGTGCATATACTGATAATGATCCCACAAAACATTTTCATTTGTTGATTCTCTACCGCACAGATTGCACACGCAAACATCCATTTTTCCAGATTTATGTCGTTCCATATGGAATTCATATCTTTCTTGTAAAACAAAACGAGCTCCGCATTCTAAACAAGTTATCTTAGGTCGTGGTTTACCAACATCAGACAGTTTCACGTTACTGGAGTCGGTGCTTTGATTATGCTCTATGCTGTTTACGAATTTTCCACCCTTGTGACCAAATGTTTTTAAGTGATAATTCAAATTTGCTCGTTTGACAAATGTTTTCTCACAAGTTATACAAGCGAATTTCTCACCTGCTCTATGTTGATATTGGTAATGATCCCACAGAATGTTTTCACTCTTAAACCTTTTTTCACAAATTAGACATGAAAAAGTCTTGATGTTTCCAAAATGATGCCTTTCTATATGAAATTCATATCGTTCCCGTAATACATAGCGCGCTCCACATACTTCACATGTTAATTTAGTTGACTTTTTTCCATTTTCTGATTGAACTGTATCCGTATCTGTATTAAGAGATTTTGTATCCTCTTGATCGTGAATTTGCATATGATCATTTAATAATTCTTTTTCAAGGAACGTTTTCTGGCATAATGTACAACTATAGTATTCAAGACCTATTTCACAGCATTTTTGATGTTCCCATAAGCTATCCTCGGAGGATAATTCTTTCTTACATGTAGGGCATTTGAAGTCATTGAGACATCCCATCTCGTGTCGATCCACATGAAACCGATAATAATCTTCCGAAGAAAATTCTATATCACATATATCGCATTTATGTGTCATTGGCCTTTTTATACTCTCGTCATTACTTTCCTCCAGAGTATCAAAATCAACGAATTCACTGGTAATATTAGAAACATCCAAATTCGGATCAATTGTAAGAAAAGTATTTTCTGTGGTCTCAGAAACCATTTTTCTCCTTTTTGGTGACTGTGTATGTTTTTCATTGTCATGATCGCTTTTCACTATTCTCTTTCTGATATCTCGTAAATTAGTTTTACTCTTTCCTCGAGAAGATTTTTTATTTAAACTGTTATGTATATTTTTTGCATGGCTCTCTGTAGTATTTGATTTTGTAGGTCTAGATATATTCCGTGTTTGCCTCCTCGTATGTCTTTCACTAACTGTATTACTTTTTTTAAGTAAATTGGAAGATGATCGTAAATTTCTTACTGATCTGGTACTTATTCCTTTGTGTGTACCTTTCCGTGATACGACATCCGTTTTTTGTTTCTTAAGCTCTGCATTTATCTCAGATCCATCTGCACTATCTGTTGAATTTAAAGTTATTTGAAAGGCACTATCAAAATTTTCCGATTGAACATCTTTGGAGATGATTAGATTTACTTTGCAATTGGGACATCTGTATTTATTTGTTTTGTCATGTATTTGCAATATTTTCGCAACTTCTGTATTGTCATTCACTGGAATTTCAATAGATTGGTCTGTTAAAGTAGTTAGGTTTGACAATCTTTTTTCATTTTCTATACAGAGTAAAACAAAATCCTGAATGAAAATAATTTTCTTATGGCATGGGCTGCATATGTATCGTGATAATGTTTCTTGTTGACATATCTGTAAATGATTCAGTGATTTTGAATTATATCTATATATATTATTTTAAGAAGTAGCAATTTCAATTAATAAAAGGATTACATACAGATGTCGGTAATAATTTGTTTATTGTTTCTGTAATATTTGATTCTTCAAAAATATCAACTGGGTCTTCTGTCGTCATGCCACATAATCGACACAATAAATACTTAATCTCTTGAGTCTCGACATCTGTATAAATAATGAATTTTAGCATTGATAATACTTGATCGAACCTCTGTTTTTATTAGAAGACGTGAACCATTTTTTAGCAACTCAAGATAACAAAGGTGAGATATTACCTTGATCAGAAGTCATTTCTGTTTCTGGCATTTCAGATAAATCTGGTAATACAAATTCTACAGTCTCATCCTCTACATCCTTACTTTCTGAAAAATATGTGTAACTAAAGGTATTGAGCATTGAATACAATAATAAGATTTTAGGTAAAACTGCAGAATACAACTCCTTGAAACACTACATGTATAAAAAAAATTAATCTACAGCTAATTTCAAGAGCAAGTCCTATTCTGCATTTAACCAAATTTTAAAATACAAAAAATTATTCTTACCGACACTAAGGCACTCTGATACGACAGAAGACTCATTTACCATTCTTCCTTTAATTAGCATCGACGCTATGTTTACATCTATCCCATGTTCTTTCAACTTCATCTGCAGGTCTTTAAATGTGTCTGTTACTGATAATGTAATATGTGAATTCTCTACCTTCACAATGAACGTTTTTGTAGAATTCATTTCTATACTAATAATTTTTATCGTATAATATTCGGTTAAAAATGATCTCAATATACACTACATTTAAATAAGAAACGTACATCCACTTTTGGGATATAACAAATTACTTGAAATTATTTCAGAGATGCCGTACGGCTTGGTATTACTTTGATAAGCAGATTTATATATAACAATCTTATTGTCATAATTTTATTGTCACAGATATCATAATTTGCGAATGAATATAAGAAATGACGTTTCTATTAGATGGTTCCCAGGCTACCAAATATTGGTTATATTACTTTTATTGCTTTTGCTTTGGCGTTTGTTTCTGTAATTTTAGATAGAGGGAGTACAACTGAATTGTAATACGCCCTCTAGACAACATATTTGGATTTAATTATTGCGATCATTTGAAAAGTTAGTGCAATTGAAAATAAAACTTCACATCTATGAATGAGAAGATACATTGAACATACATATACTTTCGATGGATGGACATTACTACCTTTTGTCCATTTTTATCATAATTTTTCATCTTGCATTTCATTTAAATTAACGAATTGTTTATGTCATTTACGATATTAATCGAAGTTCGATTCGTCTATTTTTACTGTTCTCCGATGCTCATTGGCTAGATAAGTTTCTTTGAATTTTGACATGTGTACGACATCGCAAAAGTATAATTTTGATGCAGTTGCGACAGAAGGCTAAATTGACTGTTCAATCTTTGTTAATACTTTATGATAGTCCAAGCTGATAAGAATTCGATTATGTACATTTAACAGTTGTTTATTATGATTGAATAACATTACATTGATATTAGACTTATTGATACTGTTGACATGTAGTGTTATATTATTTAGTATATTAAAGTTCTTCGGCTCTTAAATTAGATAAATATAATCTACAAATATACAATACATAATAAAAGTGTCTTTTAAATATTAATTGTACCACTGAGAAGATATTGGTAAAGAGGACCGGTCCCTGTATATTTTGTGTCTGAAATGAACCATGTAGCACTTCAACTTCTTCCAAAACTTCAATGGTGGTCTAGTATATCTCATACCCACTGTGCCTACTATTCATGAGACACAAAGTCCTATAAGGCTGATATGATATCTTTAGTAATATCTCCTCGATCATACTAACATAATTTTGTAAGACAAAATGCTGGACTTGGCATCAAAGCACATCCGTATGCTGCTTCTTATTTTGAAAGAAATAATAGCATCTTTCCATGCCATATGCACATATTGTAACCAATACACCCAAGGATATTCGCATCACGGTAGTAATCAGATCCCGCCAATTCTGAATAACCTTAAACATCAAATAATAACAATTCTTAGGCATCACGACGCCCAATTCTTCTGGACCGCTCAAGCCCCCTGGCCAACCACGGACGGGTATATAAACGGCGACGTTTCACGATTCGAGCATTCTATCACCTGAGCTAGCTAGCTTACCTTTATTAAAGCAACGAGCAAACCGTCCCACTTGACCACAATTTATAAACGTACTTCTACTCTTGTAATCGAGCAAAACGTCTCTTCTGCCAGATAGAATCAATCTCTGCATTTCAATTAGTCCACCACTTTGATAATTTTGATCATTGCGCCGCTTTTGCTGTAATCAAATTCCGCCAGTCGGAGGCTGCTTTCAGACACGATTCCATATTTTATTTATACAATCATAACATTAATCAAGATAGGAGAACAAGAATAATAGAAGAACCTATTATTCCCGTTTCCGACAGACGTATCGTGTAAATAACCCACGTCTAATCATCATATCGATACAATTGACTTTCCGCTCACTAATCTTCTGTAAATACTATTTATAATAACTGCTACTTTCCGCTTACGTTTATATCTATTCTTCGCTTACTAACAACCAGCATTCTCTAGGCTGGACCTACACTAACTCTGTGTATTCCGTTGCAGGACAATATACTTTTCTTTTCTAATTTGTAAGACGAAGTCTCACTTTCATTTCTTTTGTTCCAGCTGATCTCTTTTCTAAATTCCTGACAGTTGATTCTGGCTCGAACCCGCTTTTCTGACACAATCCGGAGAACCGCATCGTGCAAATAAGGTTACAATATAGTAACAAACATCCTTGTTCAACTAACTAATTTTGCAAGGTACTTCTATTTCCGACATAAGTGAGAAAATGTTAGATTAGATTAGATTAATGACCATTTTCAGAACTTCTTTTCGTTTAATGTCACATCCAAACGTAAGGTTTAAGTTTTATCATCACATAATTCTTCTAAAAACGCAAGTACGGGTACATCACGACTCTTCAAGCTTTTTTAATTTTTCACCAAGATGCATATTTAAGTGAATACGAATCTGTTGCTGCCCAATGCATTCGTCGCCACAATCAGGACAAATTTGACAATCTCTCTTCTCATGTACTTGTTTACGATGTTTTGATCGATTATTAGTTGAAGAAAATGTCTCATCACAATCTTGACATTTGTAAGGTTGCTCACCAGTATGTTTCCTGTGATGCTGATCTCGTGAATCTTTCCTTCTAAACGCTATTCCGCAATACTCGCACGTGTATGGTTTCTTACCAGTATGCAGTAAGATATGATTGTGCAAAGACTTTGTCTCATTAAATCCCTTGCCACATTGAGCGCACTTGTAACGTTTTTCACCATCATGTTTACTTTTAATATGGTTTGCTAACAGTTGTTTAATTTTAAAAGTAGCATCACATACGTCACAATGAAATATTGGATTGACTTTTCCTTGATGAATTTTTTCCCTATGAACTTTTAATGACATTTGATGCTTAAACTTCTCATTACACTGCTCGCATTTGTACCAAGGTTTCTGCTCCATTAATATTGGATCTTGACTATCAATTTCATGCGTTTCTATCATGTGACGTTTTAAACTGCGAAACGTGGGAAACTTCTCAGAACAAATACGACATTTGAATGCCTGTTGTAATACTATTTTCCTGTCATATTTCCAATGCTTTTCTAAATGCTCATTCATATTCTGCTTTTTGCTGAACGTTTTGTTACAAATCTGACAAACAAAACGTTCATGAACAGAATGTATTTTTTTGTGAATTTTCAATGCATTTGCAGTCATACATCGTTGATCACATGCATCACATTTATAGGGTCGCTCTCCAGTATGGCTTCGAAGATGTTCTTTGAGGCGTGCTTTTAGTTGGAAGGATTTTCCACATAGTTCACAAATATGGGGTCTTGCACCTTTGTGTACAAAGATATAATGCTCATATAAGGCATTCTCAGCACTGAACTTCTTTCCACAGCTACTGCATATATGTTTACTCATGTCCTCATTGTGTCTCATCTCGTGAAATTCAAGTCTTTCCTTTCGCAAAAAATGCTTTGTGCATTTGGAACAATGATATTGTCTTCGTGATATTACTTTTGTTCCATCTGAATCAACCATTAAAGAAAGATCTGATCCTTCACACATGGTGCAAGTTATAGCATCATTGATTGCATTAGGATCAAGGTCTGTAACTTCTTTTCCACATAATGTACATTTTCCTGTTTGCATACCTTGTATCTCTTTGACAATAGCTTTTCTAATAGTTGTATTGTCAATAGTTATACCATTTTCATCAGTTTCAATGTGAATCTCGTTTATACCAGAATGGTTATACTTGTCTTGGTGATTTTTCAGTTTCGATTGTTTTGGAAATAGCTTACCACAAGTCATACAAATGTAACGTTGTGTATTCTTGTGGATATAGAAATAATGATCCCATAGTAAGTTCTCACTTGTGGATTTTCTTTGACACAATGGACAGATAAAGAGATCAATTCTGCCAAATTTATGTCTCTCCATATGAAATTCGTATTTTAATTGTGAAGTGTATCGTGCCCCACAAAGAGTACATGTCATTTTAGAATTAGTTTCCTCTCCATGACTTTCTGATAACTTTATGGTGATCTGATTAAACGGTACTTCTTGGAATTGATCTAAACAATCACTTAAATCATCTTCTATTTTGCAAGCTTTGTCAGCCAACCAATCATTATTGCTACATAATGATTTAGTTGTTGTTAGCTTTTCAATAGGTTCTTGTTTCATATTTAATGACCAATTATCTGCCTCATAAGCAGGTTTTATGTCCTTTGCCATATTTGGTTCCATATCAACTTTATCCTTTTTTGTCTTTGTTTTCATATATGTATCTATACAATTTTTAAAATTCTCTATAGCACTTGATATAACATTTTTATATTATTACTACAATTGTTGTATCTACATAAGTGCAATGACAGCAAACTCCTTATACTTTGTAATCATGCAATCCATAATCACTATAATCGTATCTTCATTGTATCTTTGACATCTTATTGTATACTCATTTTAATTTTTCATCTGTCAATCCTTATCTGTAAATGAATTATTTACAATAAATAATTTGTATCATTAGCAACCTTAATTTTTAAAACTAGGTTAAATCAAAAATGATTATCAAGTCCCACAGTATTATTAAAATATAGAATGTATGATAGTACAATGATCAATGCAAGGGTTACAAATAAATTATTTTATGGAATGCAATTATGTACAGAAAAATGTATACCTGATTAAAATATAATCCGCTTAAATAATAGTGTATACAAAAATTCAATCACTAAACTACCGGAGTCGAAAAGGAATTGAAATCCATTGAATGTATGAATCATATGTATATAATTCACTACATACAGTTCTCCAAACAGATATTTCGTGATGCGAAGCGCCACCACCATCGGGACGCATAGTCCATGCTATAATGTTAATGGCCACCACGATCGTGAGCGTCACTTCCTTCCTTTCCTTATGGCTGTATCCCCAATAGGGGACATGTGCCAGTAACTGGTCCGGGTAAACTGCAGTATACGACTCCGAACTGAAGTTGACTGCTAGTGGCTTAGATTTTTAACGTAGCGCCATCTATCAAATGTAATGCGAATGTGTATATAATTCACTACATACAGTTCTCCAAACAGATATTTCGTGATGCGAAGCGCCACCACCATCGGGACGCATAGTCCATGCTATAATGTTAATGGCCACCACGATCGTGAGCGTCACTTCCTTCCTTTCCTTATGGCTGTATCCCCAATAGGGGACATGTGCCAGTAACTGGTCCGGGTAAACTGCAGTATACGACTCCGAACTGAAGTTGACTGCTAGTGGCTTAGATTTTTAACGTAGCGCCATCTATCAAATGTAATGCGAATGGCATAGAATAGTGGCGCCTCCTGATCGGAAAAAAGCGCAACTATCATTAAAAATTTGAAATGAATATATTTTTACTGTTATCATATATATTATCTTGTTATAAAAATATATTTTCACAAAATATGATCTAGTAATCGGAATATTCCATGTTTGGAGATTTTTTTCGTTTAATTTTCGTGCTACGCCACACAGGTTTGCACCTATTATGTATACATATATTTTGATATGAAGTTATTATTACATATTTTTATATTAAATATGTGTATATTTAATTTATAAATAATATTATTTAAAAATATAAGTATGTATAAGTGCAAGCTCGTGATTGTACATTGAGCATTAAATTTGATCTACTGCTTCGAGATTTTTTTGCTACAATGTATCGTCTGCTTTCGTAAAACATGTATAAGCATGATTTTCGTTAGTAGCTCGCAAAGCGTGTAACACAGTGTGCTATTATTTCTTTTGCTTAAATTCGATTGTGTGTGATCGATTGCAATGGTGATACGGTTCGTAGATTTGTTCAAACTAGGTGAAAACCCTTCTATTGAGGTTTTGCACCTTTGCACAAAGATACGGACTCTTAGCTCGGACTTTCAAGTGTCCAGTGTGCGATAAGGACACGATTCTATGTACTGCTGAATTTCTTTCGAGCTAATATCGTTGGCAATGTCGTAGTTGCAAAACAACGAGATCAGTGAGAACTGGTTCGTTTTTTGGCAGATGGAAGTTATCAATGATCGAAATTTTACAATTGACATATTTTTGGATTCATAAGTACACCCAGATTCAGGCTCAGTGGGAATTTCAATGTTCCCTGCACACGACGGTCGACTGGTACTATTTCTGTCGGTTATGGTTAATTTTTTTTCTAATAGGCGGCGTGACTATTCCATGCGATTCAGATTATATCCGGCAGATAGCGTTACCTCAAAAAACCTAAGTCACTAGCAGCCAACTTCAGTTCGGAGTCGTATACTGCAGTTTTACCGATATCATGACATATTTGCAAAGAACGAAAATGCATCTTTGTCTCGATCGATTTCGCATTATGATTCTAAGAAAAATCTTAACAAATTTCTTTCATTCATTAGGTCGTTTGTGCAAGCGTTTTTCCGTGCTTCGAAGCACTATAGGGTGTGTTCTGAACTGTACTAACAATACTGGTAGTACTGTAACCAATGCTGTGTCCTTATTCATCCATACGCATCTAAGAGAGAGATAATTACTTTTACAGTACTGTCAGCAAATTTCGGAACACACCCACAGATGTTTGAAAACGAGCCGAGAGTATGTTGTATCTCGATCAAATGCATGCACTAAGCAGAGAAGCAACAATGCACTCTGGACTCTCGGCTCATTTTCGAATACACCTATAGTGCTCCGGAACACGTAAAAAAAGCTTGCACGGGCGGACTTCCTGCTTCTGACACTTGACTCTCTAGAGCACAAAGCCATTCAGAAACAAGAAGACTTCATGCTTCATTTGTTTTGTTTTATGTTAAAGCGTCGGACCACCTGAAAAATTGGCTGATTAAAAAAAATGTATAAATTCAAATATATCGCACATTTTTTTAGTTTTAGCTATCCGATAACTCATGATTTAAATTATAATCAGTACAAGAATTGTACAAAATGCATGCGCTGCAACTGACGCCGTCAGAATGCTCCGCTAATACACGCGTCGCTGGTTGACAATAGGTTCTCGTTACCTACACTTTCTGTACATTTTAAAAAGCACAAATTCGTATTTGATGATATTTTAAACTAACCAATGAGAACTTACTTTTTCTGACAAGTGCGAATTCTTATTGGATGATACTTTCAATAACCAATAAGAACTTCCCCTTTTTGAAAATTGCAGGAAGTGTAGGTAATGAGAATAAACCTAAATAGAACTCTCGAATGGCGTGGTGAATAGGCTTTTTGTTTTCAAATATTGGAAAAATAAAATAGGAAGTGAAATTAATCATACAGCGGTTTACTTAATAATAAATTAAACAACTGTATATCAAAAATTGCAATTGACATTGCAAATTTATAAAATTATCTTAAATTTATACAATCGCATACTGTTCGTACAATAATTCCCGCACTTTGTAGTAGTCTTCAGAAAGACAACCTTCCAAAACGACTTTACCAGCTTCATGCTAAAAGAAAAAATTCCGTTATCATTCAATATTTTTTTAGATACATGAACCACGTTGAAATTACCCTTCTAACGGCGATGGTATTATTACAACACCATAAAACTCCTCCGCTAAATTCCGATGGAATATTACTCTTGTTTAAGATTTGTTTAAAGTCTGATAACTTTAGTTCATTTATGAAGGCTGTTTGATGTCCAGGAACCTGTAGAAATAAATATTACATATTTATGCTACAATTCCTTTCATAGTTAATTAAAGTATTATAGTGTGAATTACTTCATTGAGAGGTAAGGGTTCTAATGTTAATATTTGATCCGTTTCATGAATTTCATCTGTAGTTTCAGTGTCAGATACAGCATCTGGACAAATGTGATCTCGTGCAGTCATCATAGCGTCTACCCAGGCAACTTCAGTATCTCCTCTTCCCTTCGAGAAATTAAGTCCACTGACTAGAGCGTCCGTTAAGCGAACCTGCGTATGAAAAGTTTATTAGATAAGTGTCAAAATTATTGAATAAAATAACACTATAATTTGAAAAGTACTTGATAAATGTGCGTTTCTGTCGTGGCATCCAATGTTTCTCCTCTGCCTGGAATAAAAACCCTGGCACCTGCACTTCGGGCCTGTTGCGCAAGTACTTCTGTATCCTTTGGTAGACCTCTAACCAAAACTACTCGTCGTGGTCTCAATTGGGCCAGAATCTTTTGCAAGGATTCACCGTCTGATCTACCTTCAAAATCTATATAGGTGATTGACGCATTTACTGTAACAGTGCGAGAAACTTGAATACATTTCGTTGGAATATCTGTTGCTATTTCTGGATGTGGTGCCGAATCCTCTTGTTTCACTTCTACATGGTCCTTATTGTCTTCTGCTTCCAGAATAGCATCTGCTATTTTATAATCTTCTGGTCTGTCAGTAAGGGTTTAGATGATTCAAAGAAAAGAAATGAGACTTCAGTTATGGTCATAGTTATAAATCAAAGGATTGGCCATGCTTTAAGTGAGAGTCAATCTTTTACCTAATTATTTCACCATATTCATCTATTTTTATTTTTTCTTCAACAAAGGGAAACATGGGGTGCTGCTTTTTATTCTGCTTGAAGAAGCCCGGTTTAGTTTCTTGCTTTACTAATAAGTCATGTTTTCCCCTGGTTCCTCCTACTTCTATCTCATCTTCCGATTCGGAGCTTACATCCGCTGTTTCCCTAAAAGTATATGTTTAAAACTGTTCAATGAGACTAATGCTTTCACTTTTCACATCAAAACTGAGTTAAATAATTACATTTGGTCATGTTTGATTTGCTCCTGTTTAATCTTCTCTTTCTTTTGATATTCTTCTAATTCTGCACCTTCCAGTTTTACACGCTTTTTAATTTCTAATGTAATATTTCTATTTCCACCCTTTTCAACTAGATCTCGGGCCAATGTTCCAGGAGAGGTTCTACTTGTTATTATAATACTGTTTTGTGGATTGCTGCACCATTGAAGGAACAGTTCTCGTGAAAAACCGCACTCCATATCAGGAGTACTAGCTAAAACAACCTGAAGTATAAATACAATTATAATTGTACATCTTTATATGCAATATAAATTTATATTCGTACAACGAACCTTCGGACTAGGGACCTGATTTAACTCAGCCATACTGTGGCAAAGCTGCAAATGCTTAAACTGAAACGGATTGTTTCTAGCTCCTTCGAAACTCCTCATCAATTTGTCGCTCATCCATTCTATTTGTGACTTGGCAAATTCAACGACATTGTAGCTAACGTTATTGAGCAGTGCCAGAGAATATGCCAGTAACCCAGACTCTTTATTGCGCCATAGCTGGTCTAACATGTGTGCTAACTCCAATACTCTACCAGCAGTGTCCACACCAACAAGAACATTACCTCCACCTCGTAGTGTTTGTAGAATATTTGCTATTGAAACAATAGTATCATTTGCAAGTAAATTATAAATTTAACAAATCATACTTACTCATCAATTTTTCATCTCTAGTTCTACGTCGCGCTTGCTGATAGGTGGCATTAAACGCGTCAGTTATCAATAGCGAAGGCCTCTGTAACCTTTCCAGTTCACAACCATTGAGGTGTCTCTCCTTTTTGTGATTAAAGTCCACTGCATATATTATATCTTCCTCTCCTATTTTAACAATTTTCCAAATAGTTCCACCTATCATGTGTCCTGCTGGTAGAGGTGTTAAGGTAACACCATAACCTTTACCCTTCATTGAGATACTTTGGTTATACTTCAGTTGCACAATTTTGTCAAATGCAGCATCAACATCGTCGAGAGTAAATAAATCAAAATCTTCCATATTATGACGAGACTGAAATAAAAATTGGATACAGTATAAGTATATTTAATGCAGGCCTCTAAAAATTATATTAATCATTGGGTATGTTCAGCAGAAACACCGCTGAGGGAGCAAGTATATTTGATTGGTCATTTGATCGTTAATCTTGAAACAGTTGTGAGATTTGACCAATCAAATGTATTTGCTCCCTTAGCAGTGTTTCTGCTGAACATACCCATTCATTACTACCTGATACATGTCATACATGAACATTTGTCCCATTTTGTAAACAGGAATAGTTGCATATATAGGGCAACTTAAACCACATTTCCCTACTAGGTATGGCAGTGCACCTAAATGCAGTGGATCTGGATATGAGAGTAACACTGCATCCACCTGGTTGACATGCCTGAAAAAACATTTGCATATAAATAATATCTTTCATGTACAATCACCCAAAATAAGATTGAAACTTTCATGTGACCTTTTCAATTCTTTTATGAAATCCTGATCAAAGGTTTCGTCCCAACCACAATCTAGCAATATTCGTAATTCATCAACCTGTAAAATATAGCATGGTGGGGATTCATCCATAGCTCCAGATACCGCATGCAGCTTTATGATTGAAGTCATGATGCCTTTTTAATTTATCACCTAAGAAAAATATAATTAAATATTAAGTATGCCATTTCTTATTGGACTGATATATGTATGATAAACATTATCGAATTACCTCCTGGTTCTAACCTCTATAAAGATTGATAAGGATGCGTATAGCTGAAGAAAAAGCTGTGTCAAGATTTAACAATTGGAAATACTATTGCAATAAATTGCACGTTCTTCAAGTAATACCAGCTAAAGGTAATCCTAATTTCCTATTATACGCATCACATAAAACTATATTTTTTCATTTCGATTTCAGTGTTCAAAGCACACAAAAGTTGAAGTTAAACATATCTCTGAAGGCATCAAAATGTCACTAGCAAACTTGCTACTAACATAAAATATAAAATATATTAGGGAGCGAGTGTGGCTACGTCAAATATAGTGAAAATACAAAAAGTAAATAGCTTTTAGCCAATCATTGTACTTGTCTTCTTTTGATTCTAACACGCGATTGGCTAACAGCTATTTACTTTTAGCATTTTCATTACACGTCGACCCCCCAGAATACACACACTTTAGAATGCCACCCGGTATAAATCCATGCCTCTCACAGAGCTCACGAATATCACGTGTAATATTACTATAGATACTCGACCAATCAAAAGCGTGAGACTGGTTCAAGGGATCCCCACTCAGGTGGCGCGTCACGCCGAAACAAAACTTGCACCATGAAAATCGGTTTAAAGGCAATCTCCCTACTCATCTCCTTTTAAACTGGTTTAAACCGTTTAAACTATCTAGTCAACATGACGGACATGACGTATTTTAACAATGTGGTAACAACGTGTCTACTCTCAACCTTAAATTTATATAATCTTCATAAAGCTACATTTATTTTTCAAAATACAATACATCATGAAATTATCATAATTCAAGCAGTCGTCGATATGTTCAATTTATTGAGCAATCAATTTAAACTTACATCATCGCGCTACAAAATCCAGAAGAAACAAACCCATTGACTAATAATGACTCAATAGTGGAGCATATATGAATAATTATTAATATTCTGTATGATGTATTATATTATAAACATTAATATCGTCATAACTTCAAGTAAATACGATATGCCAGGATTGTGGTATTCTTAGGTCAACATAGCTCTAACGGTAACCAAGTGAAAGCAGACTCCTACCACGTCGTGGCTATGGAGTGCGCGAGACTAAATTCAAGTTTATTTTCGCTGTTGTTTGACGGTCGCACAACCAATAGCACGTAATTATTTAACGAGGGTGAAGATTTCGGGTGAGCGAAGAGTCGAACATGTGAGAGAGCACATTCCAAGAAAGTGGATTGCGTTCAAAGTGGCGCGACATCGCAAACGAATATTGGATCAGCTGATGAGTGGCAACAGACGAGCGCAGACGAGCGCAGACGAGCGAAGCCCATTGTTCTTATTCTTGGTTATGGCGACAAGCAGCTCTGATGGTTCTTGTGCAGCACCTGCAGATTTTCAACTTTCCTCAGAGCTAGAAGACGTTTCAAGTCGACTGAGTGTTAACTTGTTGAAGTGTCCCCTTTGCCACAACAGCCGACGCATTTTCTATTGCAGACAATGTATCCAAAATGGGGATTTCGTTCATTCTACTTCTGTTTACTCTGAACGGTATACATAATAAACTTACGGGGTGGGGGGTGTATATTTCATTGTTGTGTGTTCATTGCCACACACTACTTTTATTTGATACAACATCATCAGTTTTTATACGTAAAAATCACTAATCTGATGCATGTTGCTTTTAAATTTCGTAATATTGTAATATCTTTATTTTATTTTTTTTTATAACGATATTTGGATTTCATCCTTATTTTTATTATCAGTTTTCTTTTTTTTATATATGCTAAAGTGCAGTGAATTAAATGTACCATTTTATGTTATTTTTTTATGAGCAGTGACGTACGTATATTAAAAAAATAATATTTACGCATCAATTGGAATATACTCTGTGTAACATAATGGCTTATGTAAAATTTTCGCACACGATCTTCTACGCGCCGTGTGGTACGAAAGAAAAATGTTTTCAGGTTTGCGGATAAACAATTACGGTTGTTACGGTTGAAGGCTGCCAGAGCACAATTAGAAGAAAAGTGTATGAAAGCTCTTGAAAAACATAAACAAAGGGATAAGCTGGTAATTATAAACAGAAGTTTATTAAAGCTGTTTTTGGATCCATAATATATAATACTTTCAAGAATAGAATACCAAACTTAGCATTTTATGTTTATTTCAGATATGTGATATAAATACATGTAAAGAGCGAGTACGACTTCTTCAGTCACTAGTCAATGAGACAAGGCAAAGTATAAACAGAGGTATGAATCCTATATAATTATATTTGAAAATGACATTCACTTATGTTTACTAAGCACTTACTTTATATTGTCAGGTAATCAACGGCTGAACATTTTGAAAGATGTAAACTCTCAGCTGGCCCTAAGATTGCCTAGACACGAGGAACGTGTAGAGAAGCTGCATCACTTTGTTGCTGGGTTAAGAGTTAAACAGGGGAAACAAAAAGAAGCTGTTGACAGAAAGAGACAACAGCTTAAGAAAGTTATCAGAACTGCAGCGAAGCAGTTAATCCAATATATATTTCCATTGACTCAAGTTCAGCCTAATAGAAGGTGTGCTTATTGCATATCTATAATGCATACATATTTTTATTAACATTATTCCTATGTTCTAAAGTTTATGTAGCAGCGAAGATGAGAGTACAAGTGTGGATGTAGTGACTTGTGCGCTGGCTGATGCTTCAGGTACTTCTTATGTAAGAGGAAGATGGATTAATGATACAGAAAATAGTTTGGAAATGCAACACCGAATTGTAGCTCCAACTTTACCTGGAACTGGTGACTATAGTGCTTATTCACTCTGGGGTAACTAACCTGCATTATTTATTTTGTTGTTTTCACTTCATTGTATTGGTCAGTATACAAGTCTTATAATGAAATTTTTAGTGGCAGCAAATAAGGATGGTGTACCTGGTGGAAACAAAGAAGATGCGATGCACAATCCGGCGTACAACATTAGTGCTGCTCTAACATATGCAACACAATTGGTTAATATTATTGCATATTACGTGAATGTTAGACTTCCCTACAAGCTTCCATACGGGTAAGTAAACGGGGATACATTGAAGTTCTTTTACATACTTTAAGGATGCAAAGTATTTAAATGCATCTGCGATGGTAGAAAACATTTTACCATTAGTTAAATATCATGATAACGTTTCAGTGAATTCTGTGGTAGTGAAATGTCAGATCAGAAGTTTGCCAAGAAAGTTGCAAGGCTCAATAGTAACGTGCTACACCTATGTTTTACACAAAACACTGATATCGCAGTTTTGCATCCCATGCACACGTTGCAAAACCTAATGCATTTGCTCAACACGGAAATCAGTGATCTCGGAAGGTAATAATATTCTTAATACTTATTATACATTGACAATCTTACATAATTATCCAATAATTAGTAATAATCATGACTTATCTAACTTGTATAGGATTGGACCAATGGAGGTGGATCCTAGTATAGTCGCCCAATTACATGGTCAACTCGTTCCTGATCTTGAAAACAGTGACGATTCTGCTTCTGACGAAGAGGAAGATGCCATCAATTGGGAATGGGAAGCGGTAAGTTGTTGAACACTTCATTAGGTGGCCAGAAGTCCTGAGTATCATTTCAAAAGTTGTATTTCAGGTGCCAAATGTTGCCTGTCCCGAAATGCCTCTTCCCATACCAGGCTCTATGACTAGCCAACAATCATCTAGTATGCAGGTGAACCAAAGTGTCGCGGGTGGTTTAGTAACGAGTGCAGCAGCTAGTATTGTTTCCATTTGGCGTGGCTGGACAACCAACAAATAGATTATTATAATTTCGAGTTCTTTTAGCGTATCCTGTTCTTTATGATCATTCATCGAGAAGTATACGCAATAATTCAGTATTTGAAGATTGTTGGATACGATAGAAGGAATTAAATTGACGGTGTTACTCTGTCATTTTTCCGAACAATTTTATCTGCAGCTGATAACCAAATCAGTTTGTATAAATCAGGAGAGAATGTGTGTATAAATAATATTGCCACCACGTTTTTTTTAACCTGATGAAGAGAGAATGTGAGAGAGGATCCAGAAAATCGTATGGCTAGTGAATGATAAACCATAAATTTACTGTGAAAATATACTCGCTGGCTAGAGTATTGCCGATGTGTCCTCTTCTCTTTATTCAAATACTGTTTTTGTGATACGACTCAGCATTACTTTAATACGGCGACGGAGAATACCAACGTTACTGTTCTCAACAAATTTCATATAATGGATAATCCAAACCTTTGAGGTACACTAGACAAATTCTATAGAAATAGCGGAGTCTTTTTATTATACATGTGAACGTATACCATTACACAAATGATATTTAGTTTATACTTCCATTCACATTTCCGTCAGTTATTATACCACCGTAATGATTAGTAATACTAAGTTATATTTTTATGAGTCCATCGTTATTCCTTGTTTATGCATCTGACAATTCATTTGGATGAAAAGTTATCGTCAATTGCGGATAAACTTATTTAATGCTGTATATTTTTTATGATTTTGCAATCTCGTAAAGTATGAGATTTCTCGTAGAATTAACGTTACGAAAGGATTGCATGATTCCAAGTTGATTCCGTGAATTAGTTCTTGAAACGACATGTATAATTTTGCAGTGGTATACAACACTCATTGATTTTGCTCGGTACGTTGTTTTTTGCAACTTTCACTTTCGTTCTCTTCATACAACGTGCAATCAAATAAATCAAGAATGATCTTGCTACTTAAAGACTACTAAGTAAACTTGTCTACTTATTTTATATGCTAAGTCCTTGCTGCTTTGATTATCTTAGCAATATAATACGAGTGGTTTTGTGATTCTTGTGTCTTATTACGCATATTGAGCTATGTGCATATTTTTTTACAATCACGTCATTGAGAATTAAGCGATCGGCGAAAGGCGCTTACTCGTTGACAATATAAATGAAATAAAGTTGAAAATTTTGTATTACATTGAATATTTTTGGTCTCATTAGGTTATTATATGATACCATAAGATTATAAGACAGTTTATGAATATTTTGTATTCGCGTATTTAAGATGGCTCGATATATTTAAAAGTGACGTAAAATAAACATTTTATATCTTAAGTTATAACGTTATCATTTGAGTACGACCACGAGAAGAGTAAAAGAATAATAATAACTTTTTAGAAGTAATGACAAATCAATATTGTAAATAGTTATAACTGCATTCACAACATTGCATATATACGTGGGAGGTAGTTGACTGATTAACAATTTTTACAATGAATAGTGCGACTATAACAATTCAAAACAAGTTCAGATTATTTTTTTATAGTTAGAAAATTGCGTTGTTTAATTTTAAGAACGCCGAAAAAATAAATAGATAATAAACATTGTGCACTAGTTATGACAAAGATGAAAAAAGAGAAAGAATATTGCATTGTTATTCAAGTTTTTCATACAATCCACAAATCAAATTGTCACGCGAGCAATAAAACACGAGAACGAATCTGTAAAAGAAATATAGTGTAATCAACTAAAAGTACGCGGCTCTTGGGCGTAATTTAATTGAGATTTAGTTAAACTCCGCAGTACGAATTCTCGAGTTGATATTTATTAAATGGACACATGTATATATAGTGAAATGTGATAACAAGTTTCTTCAACGATTAAAAATAATCTTTATGTACATCGTGAGAAGTAACACTATATGCTAAACTAGTAATTATAGAGCAACGACTCGGTGAGAGTTATACATATATTTTAAAAACTATGTTCCATTGGAAGAACAGTTTTCCGATGTTGCAATTCTTCTGCATTACAGAAATACCAATTGTGGACTCGCTCTAGTTGTATCATTTCGTATAATAGTATAGACAGATGGTTTACTTCTAAAAGAAAATCACTTTTATTTATACATCAGCACAAAATTGTACGCAGTGTACAATACAATACGACAAGCATACCATAATTTTCCCTTTTATAATGTTGAGCAACACTCTACCTTGTACTGAGTATTGCTTGACATATTACGAATCATTGTCCCGAACCTTGTACATAAGTTAAAATGAAAGATTTTGTAGAAATGTCTTAGCGATGTAGAGAGCCTACGATAATGAAGAATAGATGTGGTATATAGGCTAAAGCCGTTTTAAAAATTGCAATGTTAACGTTGTATGAAATGGCTATGTTTTATCTAAACAGACAAAGTTTTAATGTGATATTTCAGACAAATTAGAATATGTTTTTTTTATTGTAAGTTATTACGGGTTGTAATAAAATATATTCAACGAGATTTGCCGAATTTTTTTTATTAATACTTTTATCAATAAGTAACTGGTGAGATATTATTGTTCACAAAAAGAAGAGTATCGACTAACTCGATCAGTCAATTTTCAAAGATTTCTGGCACCGTAAGATGAAGGGACATTGTTGTATAATATACATTCCTATGAATAACCAATTAATAATTTATTTAATAATATCAAGAAATCTTCAGTTCAGCATTGTAGTGCATAGTGAAACATCATATCCTCCTTACAAGTACTTGTTAAGTACGATGTTAGCCAAATTTACTAAGTAAAGCTATATTAGCCATGTTAGTGTGTATATATTTTCATTTAAACGCCTCTGAATATAAATAGTTGTCTGAATATTTAATTGTCAACTAGGATTCTACGACATTGACGATTAATAATGTAATAATGGCTTTTTAATACAAGAATGCAAAATAGAACTTCAAATAATGTGTAAAGTCTGCAATCGAAGGGAAATACAAAAAGGATATTTCTAACACATACTGCGAAAGAGTAGTGCATACTAATAGTATACTAAATTTGAAACTATTTACCGAAGAGACGTTCAAAGCTCAGAAATCAATGTACCTGGACATAATTAAAAGAAAATGAAACATTCTAATGTAGGACCGTGGGAGATATCTGATAAGTATCATGTTAAATGCAAAAAATTTATTATTTGAAAATTCAATGCTATTATTGTATCAACACAAGGACATTACAGGCGTTCTTCATCCTAAATATTAAACTACGCATTATGAATCATAATGATACTCTTACACTTATATAGTAATATCAAGTCAAAGTACATTGATTTGTATAATGATTAATTTTATAGTATGAAACCTAATTTTATATAGCCAAAGGTAAGACCACCGACATTTCGTGGTTTCATCTAATTGTAAGACAAATGAGCAGCCACTTTAAAATGAATTTACGGGGTCTTTTATTTCAAGGATCTACATATACAAACCGACTTAGTATGCATAAATTTAAGTTAAAAGGTAAATAAACTTATTAGTGACCATGTTATTTTTGAATGCACTAGGGCGGTATCGATTTGTATTTGAAAGGACATATAGTACAATTTCCGCTACAACTGAAGGGCTACACATTACAACATAACAGTACTTATATGATAAATCATAAAAATCGAAAATGAATATTAAAGTAAGTTAAATACAATAATTCCTTCCCCTCTCTTCCTCCCCCCCATCACTCTCTTCGCTCCCATTAAAACATTAAAATAAAACTTTCTTTGTAATCAATATTGATACTATAAATATTCAAGTAATGAGACGTTTCGTATTAAACAACGAAAAAAATGCAATTTTCGATACAGATGCATTTTACCAAAATTCTTTCTGCCCCACAGTGTTATGAGAATGAAATTTACAATATTATAGGTAAGACTGAATCCGACATTACATTGCAAAATTGTCTGAGTCTCGTGCTTCTGAAGAGGTCATAGCAGTGATCGTTAAGCACAGCTGAAATACTATGAAATAACTATTGATCTACGATGGTGCAACTATTGAGGATTTCAAGCATTTCCCTGTATATTGTGGATATAGGAATATGATAATGAGAGTTATTATGCTCCCCAGGTAAGGTCACTTGCTGTCAATATAACGTTTTCCGTTAACTAAGGTATTACATAGCGACTAATCGATGGTATTTTTGGTAGAGTCCAAAACGCCATTGCGATTAGTTATCATTGCAGGTACCATAGGTTCTTAAAAAGTCTAGGAAGGTGGTCTAAAAAAATATACAACCTCGTTTATATAGTTTCGATCATATACTCAGAGTAAAAACTTATAAAAGAATATTTAGGTAATTCTAAAAGTGGGACCGAGTAGGGGTCTGTCTCACCCTTGGCTACAGGTAAAATGCTTTATACAATAAACTCTTAAAACCAAAGTGTTGTCAGTTGTACAAGTATAATGCAAGGTATTCGTTTGGTATTGACTAATGTGTGCTCGTGTCGTTACTTAAATATCATTCTGTACAGTCGCTGTTTCATGCAGCACCCCACTTTAGCTGTTGACGATGAGGTCTCACTTTTGCCACTCTCAGATCGGCCAGTCTATCGCATACCACATGTATAAAACTGTATACATATCGCATACACTAACTGGACTTTGACTCCTGGAAACATATCATCACACAGTATTTTAATTTTTGCATTTAAAGTATGCTTTTATGCAAAAGAACGGGGACAATATTTTAGAATTCGTTTTAGTTTTTGCTGTTTATCATTCTTTTTTTTTTCTCTATTTGTAAACCAGATTTTCGGGAACACTTCCGGTAAAGGGAACCTCTGTATAGTATAAACTTTCAAACATTATATTAACAATTAGAAGCAGAGAGGGTAGCTTATAAGTAATGCATACTTTGCTAATGGGAAATGAAATCTATATAATGACATCCTGTAAGAAATTTTGTAAAAATCAATAACTAATGCAGAATCTTTACAGACACTTCACATACGTTTATTTGTGAAATAATTTTATTCACGCGTTTTACGAATTATTTGACGATTTTGAACAATTTATACCACAGGGAAATGATACTGCTATTATTTATTCTTTTTTACACATTATGTAAATTGCCACAATCACACAAGTATTGAATTGATTCTGGACGATATTCGATAAATTCATCAGGAATGCGCAAGATTCCCGGAAATTTTAACAAAAATCCACCACAGATTATGTACTGTAAAGCATGTATTTTATTTATGATATATACAGTCCATTATCTGACGTTTATAAATCATATCATCCGGTTATTCGTTAGCGTTACAAAAAGCAATGTGGCGTCCATCAATTTTTGCCAAGTTATTGTATTTTCGAGCTGTGCATCTATTGTTAGTCTCCTGTTCTAATTAATTTACAATCACATTTTTAAGACGATATCACCTTGCAAGATTACAGCGTAGTCTTCTTTCTTAGGACTATGCAACAATTATTAGCTGATTATTGTACTATAAGCCATATATTGTGTTAATCTACGTTAAACTACTGATCTATGGAGAAAAAATATTCATAAACCACGCCAAGCGGCAGTAAAAACTTTAATCGTCATTGGAAGCTATTAAAAGCATCAATATAAAAAGTCAATGCAACTTAAAGTCTGTGTACAGGATATATTAACAGCGCTTGAGTATTAAAGTGAAAAGTCGTGTAAAAGTTGGCACAATAAAATATTACATCAGTTGTTTCACTTATTCTTTCTCTCTCTCTTTCACCTTTTACTAAACAGAACTACGCTAAAGCACTCCTCATCTAGTTTCTTCAATAGTAATTCGGCGGTTTAACGGAGACAGTAGAACCATTTCGAGAGCTGTTCCCAAAGAAAGCACAGACGACCATTCAAAATTGTGGCTCTTCTCATCGTAATCCCAATTTTATGCAGAAATCATCCAATCTCTGAGAGATTGTTTTTCGTTAAGTTTCATGCATTGTTGCAAAACGAATTCAAATGGTGTATTTGGAGCACAAGTGAAAAGGCTGTGTTTGGCCTTTGACGAAGATTTCATTTATCATGTCTGATGGAGGTTGCAAATTAGTAGTCCTGATAAATGTGTAAACAGGTGATTAAAATAATACACGAGACAAGTACATTATGTACGTAAAAAATAATTTATCATACAAGGTTCTAGTTGCATAAGAAAAATTGGACGTTGTCAATGTCATTATATTTTGAGAGAAAAAAAATATGAAAAGTTGTTGCAACGTATCTTGCACAAAGAACACGAGCGAACGATCTAATACGAATAATAAATATCACTAAATCATTATTATGTTTCTTTAACTCGTCAAGGACCAGACATATTTGCTTAACACAAAAGACAAACGCGTTCCGATGAAATACGATTTTAATTGTGTATATTATATACAACAACATAGGTAAATAGCATCGTGTAAGTATCTTCATAAGTAAATAGTAACGTATACAAAATATTCGTGACATTATGCTGAATTCAAATTATTACTAGGATTTCAACCGCTATAGTTGTACATGGGGATCGTAAGATCTTAACTCATTTCATTTCTGACTTAAACGTCAGTGACAACGGCTGTATTTACATGAAAGATATTCATAAAACGTATCGGATCGTGAAGTTTTGGCAATATTATTTCTAAAGTTTCAAATATCTCTCCATCTTGGGACAGATAAGTGATCGTGATCGGATAATGAATAACAAGCAAATTTCATACGTCGTTAAGGATAGTTAAGACCTCACAATTCTCAGGTATAGAAATTAAGTAATGTTCTTGCCACTTCGAAGCTTCAAGAGTCTGAAACAGTCTTGCTGTTTAGTTTCAGTTTGTAAGTAGTAGGTGCAGAACGCTGGAAAATTAAGTCTGTATAATTTTAATACAGATAAATTTACAATTTGAACATGGTCAGTGTTGTTTTTGTTACTTTTATTTTTGTCGATTCGTGAAAAATAAACTTTGCAACTACGACAACTTACAGACAAGTGACGAACACCACGTGATAATATGCAACACAGTCTCAGACATGTAATTTCTTCAAATCGACGTAACGACTCCGAATTTGCAAACTACCCTTCTTCAACGTCAAATTGCAAAGAGTGATCGCGTTGGTGTAAACAAAAGACCCATTGAAACATTAATAATTGCCATTGAGTTCATCGAAAGGAGGGCTCATCTTGTCGGGAAGAAAGGAGGGATAAAGGGTTTGGTTGGGCAGGATCTGAAATATAGGTGGAAAAAATTAAAGGAGCATGATCATAGTAAGATCGAGACATTAGTGGTTCGTAACTCAACAGTGTGCGATTTCGTGTTAGAAATTAATTATAAGCAAAGATGAAAAATGCAAAGCTTAGCAAAAGTTATTGATACAAAAAAAATATTTAGTTTCACGTCTGCGATCTCGTCAATCGTTGATTTATCAAAAGTTTTTCAAAGGACTATTTGTTTTGCATATCCCTGTGTCGTCGTACTGTTATCGGTGAAAGGTTCGTCGTACGTTTAAAAATTGATATCGTTGAATGCGCCGAGAAACAAATTTCTACGATCTCACTTATTCCTGAAATTATACTTCACATTTATAGAAGTGCTGGATTTCACTCGCGTGCCAGTCTTAGAATTTATGTGGGAAGAATAATAAAAATTAAGAAAAAAAAAAAAGGTAAACAGGCGTAACTGAGTGACAGGGATTAATTGAAGGTAGAAAATCAACTACGAAACGTCTTTTTCAGACATCGTATGTGTATAAGACGAGTTTACTTCTAGAAATAACATTAGTCCTATTCTGAAGGTACAAGTCTTTCCACATTCCCCATGTACTTACTTCCGCGTGATACGGAAAGTTAAAGTTCGTATATTTGCATTCGTGAACTTTTACGTGACAGATGTAATTCTAAAGAAATTGACATTGGCAATTAAATCTCCATTCGACGATCCTATGTCGGCAAGAGCTCAAACTGACGTTGATACAGAATAGAACCATGCGTCAAGCAAACAATATAGGTACAGTAATAGAACAATAGTGGATTTGTTGAAAATAGAAAAATACTGCATGTCGCAAAGCTCGTAATTAAGTGCGCATCATATAATCTTACAGCACAATCCATCGATGTCTAGTGTGTAAAATAAGTTAAGCAGGCACACCGTGAGAGAGATTCGACACAAAATCAAAATTTGAAGATCCCTAACTTTCTAATTTCGCACTTTAATTTTGAGACACGTTGATTATCAGGCATGGTGCAACATGCAGTAAAGCGGATGCTACCGTTTTTTTCTTTCCATAATTGAGATATATACAGAATTCAATAATTTGATTCTTCCCCAAGTGTTGCGTATGAAACCTTCCTTAGTTTTACACTTAAACAAATGTTAAAAATGACAATTGTTTTCTTCCCCGTCATCCCACTATTGCTCTAAGTCGGCCATCGGATGTTTCTACTATAATCTGGGAATAATTTGCAGTAACGAATTTGTGTTGAAAAAACGACACGCATTTTAATAAAACTGGTTTGCTTATCAACATATAGGTCGAATTAGTTACATTTGTGATGAATATATGAAGGCATCCCTAGTTGACATAAAGTTCATTATTAGAAAATACTAATATTCCCTATTATTCCCAAACGATAGCGAAACCGCCAACTCTTGCTACTATGAATACATTATTTTACAACCAGGGAACGATAATATACTTTGGTATATATGGGCTACAGTGTTAAGTCTGAAGGATGGCCTTGACAAGTAGTTTCTATAATTTTGAATTGGTGTTATGGGATGGACGGATGCAGAAAGGTGAACTGTTGGATTTATAGAGAGAAATCGACGAATAAAAGAAAGAATGATATGCATCGATCTATGATTCATGGGTATTATATAACCATGATTATTGTGCTGGTGATTTTAGCGTACTACAATTTTGACTGCTGCTGCCTGCTCTTACTGTTGTACCAATTCTGCACAAATGTGAAATAGAAATTTCTAGTCGTGAAAGCTAAAATAATGAAGTCAATGAAAATTTAAACTGTGGATGCTGAGGGACACTTGCAAACGCCAAAGGGAGGCGAGAGTCGACTTTTGTAAGCCATGCTATTTTCGTGAAAACAGAAAAAGTGTAAATTTCTTGATTTTTCTTTGATCGACTTTTTATAATACCGGTATGATCGAAGAGAAGAAAACGAAACTAAAATCAAGGCCTCCGTCACTTCTACAAATCTATTGAGAGATTTTCAAAATCACATAAACAAAATATTAGTACAGACATCCATTGACACAGCATCTATGTATATGTACAGGACTGCTTTGTCTAAAGTTAAGTGGTCAATTTGTCTAACTCTGCTCTGACTGAGATATCAAAGTATATATATGCTACGAGAATGATAAATGTATAGTTCTGTAACTGATCTTTGTAGAGCTCGATAAATTGACCAATCGCGAGTAAATATTCTGAGCGCCAGTCCCCTAGAACTACAAAAATATATAATTATTGTATCGTAATATTACGCATTTCTGTCAACACGGCAGAGGGTGCTATGAAAATATTCTACTAAATCGTTCATTGTTTAAATGGAAATCTAGACCACACAATACACTTGAATAACTCTGTCAACGTATAGCATGACAATAATAGTTATAACCTAAGAAATGAATCGTTGAGACAGTATCGTTTTTGAATTTCCTCTCAACCTTATAATATTTCTCGATAAGTACATACAAACTTCTACGTAGTCCAGATATAAACAGTTCGAACTTAAATTATTGCGCGTGACAAACACGACTGAATCACATCAGCACAATTAACATATAAATACAAAATATAAACAAATTAATTTTCAAATGCAAATCACCATTATTTACCAAGCTTAACTTATAAAACAAACTCCAAAGGGGTCAACATATGTATATCAAAATGTAAACTTTTTTTTTATTATCATGCTGCTACGTCATCTAGATTTGCATTGAATGCACATTTTGGATTTGTAATCTTTAGTACAATATCTCATAACCCTCCGCATAATAACCGTAATATAATTTTAATTTTGTTTACTCCTTGCATGTAGAGGAAATTTACAAAATCCAACAATAGATAGCAATAATTATTAAAATCAGCAATCTCGGTATTATTCATGATTCACTGCAAGATCAGCTGTCTGACTTTTGTGTGCAGAGTGTTCTGTGACCTATAGTAATACATCTCTTAGCAATAATTTCTTACACGTTCTCTGTTCACGCTCTTAGGATCAAGCTTTCCTATACATCATCATGGCGTAACTTTGAGAAGATCTATCTTTTTGTTTATTTTCATATAAGAACGTAACACAACTCATCTTCGAACAAAATTCTCTTTTTTTTTTCTTTCTTTTTTTTTGGTATTATTAATACCCTTCGCAATTGATACCACACATATACTGCCGTCGAAGTGGAAATTTATCATGGCATAGTAGTATCGGAATGGATAGTATCAAGTAGAGAATGAAACCAATAATAAAATGAACATACATAGTGTACTTCCCAAAAGAATGATCAACTCTCGTCTAGGATATAACGATAAATGCAATTAGTTGCGCTTTAATAATTCTCATCCTTTCAAATTTGACGTATACAGTACTATAAAAAAAAAAGAAAAAAAAAATTGATTCCAATCTCGACGCAACAATGATGGCTGTTGTTTATTTTTTAACGTTGTTACAAAGAGTTAGCCAGACGTGACACAATGAAAAATGTCGATATCCTTACTTAATATAATGGCTACAAGTTTTCAATGAATTTACGAACTATACATTTTTGGATGTCACGCAATCTCATATGCTAATTGCATTGAACACCTCTAATGTCTTTATCCGATATAGGACCTTTTCGCAATTCCGAGCATCTCGGTTGGCAGAAATGATTTTACATAAAACTGGCCCGTTCGTGATTTCACGTTACGCTCGTTTGATCGTTCGAAAAAATGTATACGTGTGTGATATCGTAAGTCAGTTGTAAAATATTCTTTCGTTTCCATTAAATTCTGTATTGATGACTGTGAAATGGGAATAGGGATGATGGTGATGGTGTGTGTAGTTGTACATTTGATGTGATTTAGAATAAAATCAGGGGGTAGTTAGTATGGAGGAAAATCGTATCCAAGACTTACACTATCCGCTCTGCTGGGACAAACTTCTCGAAACACCTGTGCGATGAATGGTTGCCTGTAAGAAAAGGATAAGCATTATTAAATATGAGTCAACAAAATCCTATACTCCTATTACGTATAACTCTAACAAATTATCTTAGCAAAGGCCATTACAATTATCGTTCGGCTATATACCGAAATAAAGTATTCTAATCTTGTCAACTCCTTGAGCCTGGATGCGGTTTTAGACCCAAGTGACCAAGGTTAAGTGCAGCTCAATTGTATCATTGTGAGGGGATCTAATTACGTACATTGGAATAAAGCCAAATTGGTAACAGACTGTTGACTCTTTGTGTTCGGCAGCACCACCGTTAACCTTAGTATGATTTCATTACATAAGCAATCAAGAGGTTTGGCTCGCGGTAAGGAACTTAGTGCGTAGTCAAAGAAGCCCATCTCAGTGAACAAATAGTACCGCGTGTAGCTTGTTAGATATTTTAGCTGGTGTATTTAACTTGACATCACGAGAAGTTGCGCAGATAAGGAAAACGTTGACAGGCCAACAGGTCGCCTTAAATAAAATCTTCTGTGTACAAGTATTTCATCCGCGATTGGTACCTGACGCAAGCATCGACGAGATCATAGCAAACGGTGTAAAAATTTCCTTACACGTTTTTCATTTACTCACAGCATTACGTGTCACTATTCCAAACTATTCCTGACGCAAGACCAACGAGGAAAACTTATAAAATTAACTCACTTGGCAGGAAGACCACCGCCCGGGGGCAAGTTCGGCAACTCTTGAGCCATAAGGAGCTGGAGCAGCTGCAGAAAGTCAAAGCCGTTTGTGCCCTCCTGCTGCGCTACTATTTCTGTTGGCATAACAATATCAGAATTAATATCAAGTATCACGACTATCTACGCAGGACTAAAGTGAGATCAGCATTTTTCAATTAGTGTAAGTTAATAGCAATTTACACATAGCGGGACTAAAACATTTGTTTTTTAATATATATTTTCTTTATCATAATGGGATAGCTCACATGATACGGAGTGATCTATATATAGTCTCCTGTGTATATACCATCTAAATATTAAGAAAAAAAAAATGTGTATGTATAATGCGCGTGACGCGTGTGCGAAATGCTAGCAAAAGTGTATTTGAAAATTCTAGTCTCCACGGGGCACGCGTTGTTCCTTGAATTTCTCACAATCTAATGTTATCAGTGATTTCAACAGATGGATCTAAATCTTTACGGTATTACATCGGTATATATAACGTCGCATGCCTTATTTGTCCTCGTATAGAAATTCAATTGAGCTTCTGCGCAATTCAATTTATAGTATATTACTGCATGTAATAAAATATAAAATAATTTTCCTTAAATTTATCCAATAGAAACATTGGGCGTTACGGTGATTGATGATTATTATTTATTATTATTATTATTATTATTATTAGCTAAAAAGATGCCACTAACAGATACGGATTAATAAATCAAAATTATGAAAAACATGCAACTACTTAGGACTGGAATATAATAACTGCCACAGTACATTTCTTATGGAAACAGTGGAAGAGTACTCCGGTCTTAAGTAGATACATTACTGTTACGTCTCGTTAAAGCGCTGTTCAATCTGTCCACCTCTGGAATTGTTTTTATCGATTGTCAAAATATCCATTTTATCCATCATTCTTCCTGCATTTATTTTCGCTACTTAAATAACGGCAAGTGCAATGTTTCTCCATAAGAAATGCATTGCCGTTAAACGAAAGTAATAAGAATCGTAAACGTCAAGGGAAACTTCTATTGCGTTATAAATAAGTTGACACCTACCTGGATCGTCTTCTAAACTATTCTCTTATACTCACGAAATTATACATTTATCTATTCGAGTGTGTTATGGCGATTTTCACATCTTTTTTTTTTCCTAGCTCTTTAACAACTCCAAGGGTGGAACGAGTTCTTGTGTTCAGACGTTTCGCCTATGCACAGTCACATAATTTCAAAATCCATGTGATATGACAAGGTACGAGCAGTATACAATAATCTTTCAATAAATTTTGGAAATGGTCTCATTGATTTTCTTTACAGAAATTATCGTGACCATAGAGAAACGTCCGTCTGCGTATATCGCCCAATGTACAGAGATCAAAAACTTTATTCGAAATACTCATTGTCAGCTGAACAATCCACTGTTGACTTTATTTTTGTACGTATGCAGGGTAGAGATGAGTACAGCGTGACGTCGTGAACAGTAGTACATTACGATTCTACGATTCTGAAATATCGATAAGCGCTTGTATTATCAATCCTAAATATCACGTGCGAATTACCTACTTTTTTTAATAAATTGGTATCGATACCATTTCCAACATTTCTTAATACGAGTTCAACAAATTATTTTAAAAGAAAGTTTCGCGCCGTGTCCATCTCTCCCCTACTAAACTTTTCTCTTAACTGTATCTTATTGTTACCTTAACCGTTAAACAATACTACTTGCAGCTACAGACGCAGCTTACTCGTAACATTCCTTTATAGGCGATATTTCGTCGATAGCAAGTCAATGTTACAGTGAAATATAATGATTGTGAATGCATACTTTATCAAAAGCACCGTTTTCATTATGAATTATGATTTGATGACGTACAATCAACGAACTGAAATTCCATAAATGAAATTGTACAATGATAAATATATTTTTCAAGTATTTTACTTAATCACTTATTTCACCTTAAGCCGATACTTATAGGTATATTTTTTATGTCTAGATTTTAGATATTTGATATTGCTTTTAAATAAGCTTTGGCAGGCAGTTGGGATTAAAGGAGAAAACTCCCTTAGTAACCGCGAGGATGAACTGTGGAACGTATCTGCACTAGTTTAAGTTTTATACTGCAAGAAATAATCATAAAAATAAAGTATGGTTAGTGTAAGGAAAAAAAAGCCCCAATCCTTTTACGTAAGGACATAAGAAACGCGTATACAAAAAGGGCATTATACTAGACAAATGTTTGTTGTTGTAATTTTTGTATAAATATAAACCAGTGTAAGATAGGACCACGCGTAAGGAGTGTGTATCATCTCATATTTTTTAAACAGGAAATATGATCACGCAAGAGCAGTGGATGAGCTCTTATGAACAACAGACGACGTTAATTGAGAGATCTGAACTATTCTTTTAAGATAACAATAAATCAAACACTGTCGTATACCTCGTAGAAAAGTACACTTGCAATTTTACACCAACCTACGAAATAAGAACTTTTCTAAAGGGTATTTTTCGAAACAATGTAACTTTTCTAAAAATTATCTTTAAAATTGCTTCTTTGGCTTGCATAATTATTGCTTGAAATTACATGTTTGTCTTCTGTAAGTGGATTGATTGATTTATCGCGTTTTCATTATCTTTGGAAACCACGAAGACCATGAACATTTAGTACGTATACAGATATTTCAATATATACTTCAATCTGTTATCTATCAAACTTATAACTGTCGCATATGATTTAATACAGAATAATTACAGTGCTCTAATAAGGAATGATATTAAATATTATTTATAAGCATATATCAAGATGTAAATAAACCTTGAATGTGTGGTTTGAGAATACATCATTATACTGACACATTTGAAAAAGATTTGCTGATTACTGTTGGTACAATAAAAACCGGAATACTTCAACGAGTAATGATTGATTATGGAAATAGAGTAAGTGTGCACAGTATTCGATCGAAAGTATTTACTATCTTCACTGTGCTGCTGTACGATAATGCTCCTATTTTTCTATGTCTAAAGTCTCACTGTACCATCCATTATCAATAAAGTGAAAGTCAAAATAATTTTCTGGAACTTGCCAAAATTATGTTCTACCTCATGTTCGCAATATATATAAATTTCTTTAAATAAGGCAACAAACAACGATATCGTCAGGACACTATTCACGACTTTAAAAACTCCATTGGTGTTCAGCTTGAAGGCAGTAATACATATATTAGGTAAACACTTACAACTCGTCACAGAGAAACGAACGAAAAAAATATTATACAACATCAAAATTTGAAACACCTGTAAACGTGGTAACTGTCAATTGACTAGGATACAAATAAACTGTTGAAACAAGTGATCACCTTCTACCTAGAAGGTCTAATAATTTTAAATATATTGATAGACCAATATCGTAAAGATAACTACCGTTAGTGGGATATATTACAGGCAGTTATATTATTCCTGAGGAAAAACCATATTGGATTTCTTAAAAAAAAAAGAGAAAAAAAATTGCCAGAAGCATAGCCCAGTTATAGAAATAATTGTCAGCATGTATGTAGAACAAGAAGGGACAAAGTCCCATATCGTGTCATACGCGAAAACTATTTGATAAATAATTGCTATTCCTTGTTACAGTAGCACTGTGTTGCGTGATCTATCAACGCGAGCCGTTAATAGGCTTTTATTATCTATGTTGGGCTACTTATGTTTTCATGGCGAGTATAGGCACCGTCTAAGGCAAGGATTTAATTTGCAAGATTCACGTAGTATACAAAACGAGCAACATCGACCGAGGATGTGTTCGCTATTCAGGTAGGACAAGGTACATATTACTAACACCTGATGTAAAGTGAAGAGTTCAAAGGGTTCCCTTTTCAAGTAATATAATGGGTGTTATATCAATCATTAATAAACACGAATTGACTATCATCTCACGGGGTATGTTACATTTCACACAGTCCAGTGAAAAAAACAATGAAATATACTGGCGTTACCGAACAATCGAAAATGTTGATTTTCATTGTTCAACATTGAGAGTCATGAAAGACATTTTCTGTGTTAAGTACACTGAGATGTACGTGTGATAAAGTGTTAGAATTATCATGAGCTATAATTCTCCCTAGACGAGGGAGCTAGGTGAATGTCAAGTACGTTTACTGGATCGTGTGTTAATGCAGCAGCACAAGGAAAGTAATGAATGTGAGTATGGAAAAGTGAGTGAACCTTTGATCCTCCTTTCGATGGCCATTTCTAATTCAGCTTCCATCTTCTGTGCTTCTGGACTCGGCTTTGGGGCTCCTGGGAAAGTGACCAACACTATGCTCATATTGTCTCTGCTGCCCTGTAACAAGCATCAAAGCAATTACAATATACGTATGAAAAGTAAGCACGCACAACATAATCAATTATACATCCGGAAATATTATTATATGACTCGCAATAACTAACCTACGTTCAGCCTTTATGCACCTTGGTTCGTATCATTTTGTATATGTGTGTATATGTATATGGAGTACCAAACATTATTTAGAAACTTGTTTCAGGAAACGGCGGTGGAAATATATACTGTGCATCATTTAACCTTCATGAATGGTGCTTCTAAGTGATATTAAAGAAATAGCATTCGTTTATCTCGTCTGTCATATAGAATAATTCCCAGAGTCAATATTGGGAGGCTGATAGTATATGTTACTTATATCTCTACGTTAAACAATGACTAACGCTAATTAGCTACAGATATATTACAGTTAATGTAGAGAATAAAAATATTTTGTTTCTATGAAAATCTCAAGATTATTAGAAAAAAAATACTGTAGGTATGTGCATAAAGTGCGTATAATATATCTATGGAGTCCTTTATGTTCAGAAAAATATATTGGTATTATGGTGAGAGGATCATAAGATCAGTTTGTCGTATTGAAAATAAATCACAGTATTAACACGTATGAGAGATTTAATATTATGTTATCTTGTACTTCCTTCCTTCCACTTTTATAAAATATTTATGTCAACATGATTCGTATACGTAATTCGTTGTTTCAGCAGGGTAAAGAACAGTGTACATACAAAACAAGTAAATATATGATGTTCTGATATCGCATTTTATCTCATGAATGATACGATGAACATTTTTGATAACGTTTTATTTCTGTGGAGTAATGTTCTCTGTGTATAGATTGAATTTTTATTGAAATAGCTTTAAGAAAAATCGTGTATCGCTACACATAAATCAATGTACCGTTATATAATTTGAACCGCTATAAAGAATTTAATAATACACGTATACGGAATATTATGTGATTAATTATAATCAATGAACAAAAAAAAAATAGAAACATTAGTTTTATCTGTGACAAGCAACATAGGGTTATAGAAAGATTAGCATAATACGTGATCTCTTTTTTTTAATAGCAAAGATTCTAAGAGTAAAATATTTACACGCATTACAACGATCAATTAACTTGTTTATTATTTTGCCTGTTTTCATCTAACGTTGCCAGGCGGGTACCGAGGTTCGGATAAAATATACTCATCTTGTGAGATTTTTTTAAAGTGTATCTACTCAGGCTGATTCATACGCAATACGTAGTCACTGCTACATTAGATATACTGTGTGTTGTTTACATCACACTGGATGATGCACGTTTAGCAAATAAGAAAAAGGAAATTGGAAGTGTCTTTTATTAAATTTTTTTATATTGGTTTAACTAAAATAGAAATAAAATGTAGTCAATTATATCTTAAATTCTGCAAATTGTGACTGTATGAATGAATGCAGTGTATGAGCTATCACCATGTTTGACCTGCAATACTGATACACTGAGGCTATTGCCAAAACCTTTTGGCACTGTTTCTGATATGAAGCTGAACTTGATTTTAGCACGACATACTGGAACCGTATTTATTCAACTAAAAGTCTAGAAATACGATAAAAAAGTGGTCTATAATATGCTTAGTTATGAAACAAGAGTATGCATAAGTTTAAGTTAAGCATTAGAAAACTTATGTAATATTTAAATAGTAACTCCATTTATTGGTAATTGTTTTCACGTAAATAACAATGTAATTTTGGTAAGAACTTCACTCTTGAAAGCATACAATAAAATCACAGATTATCTAAGCTGTCATATAACTTTCTGCATGTTAGAAGGTCCTACTGGAGTTAAATATTAGAAAAAAAGAATGCAAACTTACCTTGTAAAGACAGGTATCTATGACTTGGTTGGTAACTGCTTCTAAATCATCAGTGAGCAAAAGCCTTGAGTGTATAAAATCACAGAGATCTTTGTTGTTCATCACATCCCATATTCCATCGCACGCCAAAACCAAAAATTCATCATGCTCATCATCTCGATCACGCACAAAGATTTCCGGCTCTGGGGATACCAGCTGTTCGCAGGGACCACGACCTTCCACGTTTTTGTACTCGTAATCGCCCAAGGCTCGGGAAACTGCCAATGATCCATTCACTCTTTGAATCATGACGCTACCACCCGCTTTTTGAATCCTCTCTTTCTCCGCAGGTAAGACCGGCTTGTGATCCCGTGTCGAAAAGACCGGATTTCCTGATTGACATAATACAGCCCGCGAGTCGCCGCAGTTCGCGATGTAAATGTGCCTTGGAGATATAAATGCACAGACTGCAGTGGAACCAGATTTATCTGTTGTCATCTCTGGCAAGTCCCGCATTTGATCATCGAGTCGCAGGAAGCCAGAATGTATTCCTTTTATAACATCCTCTGCTTTAAATTCCTCAGTTTGCATTATTGATTCTAATAAATGTTCTGAGCTATGTGCTGACACTAATGCACCAGCATGCCCATCAAAAACTGCGAAGTAGCTCCAGTCTGAAAGGCTACCTTCCAAACCAGTTATCGCACGATGTGCATCTTCCATCTCCATCCGCCAGCCCTGCATACTGGCCACACCATACCGTAAGCCATTGCCGGCACCATGCTCGTTGTATTTGTCTGTCTTCGGTGTATCCAAAAATGCCCCCATAATATTTGTCTTATGCTTGCTCTATCAGCTGACTAATTTGTCGTTCACAGTATTATTTGACCAGCATTTTTTTATGCTCAATGTGCACGATACTTTATCTCTCTACCTAAAATATAAGAACACAGCATTGATATCCATAACATGCAAATGCAATAGATTTATATCTGTAGAAACATATTTTAAAACAGTATATAAAAACGTTTCCTTTTCATAGTTGTGGACATTGTTTATCTAAAGCTATAATTAAATGTTTTTGAAAATCACAGTTACTACTATGCAATTAAAATATATATTAAAGCTAGTAAAATATATATTAATTTGTAATAGATCATATTTTTTGCTAAGTGCCTTATGAGTGACCTAAAGATACACAACTTTATGAAAGTATACAAAACTATTAGCATTTACTAACGTGGTGTGCACGTTTCTATCATATTGCGCAAAAAAAGATATTAAAATAAGCAACGGATAAAAGCATACTTAGCATACTGATACTTCTAATCAAGAAACGAAAATCGAGATTGAATGTAATAAAAATGGCATTGAAGCAGCGTGTGAGCAATTTCCACGCTAGTAAAATAGAACGAGGCGCCAGAAAATAGATACAACTGATCGGGATAAGTTTCGACTCAGATATACTTAATATATGAAATATGAAATTACCGGTAAACTGAACGAATAAAACTTTACTGGACAAAAACAGAAGACGAGAAGAGGGAAACGGTAGAGCAAGAAATTACAGGAGATCGAGACTACGAGAACTTTGCGACACGGGATTCGGAGTAACTCTCAACTTGGCAACGCCGAATTTCGCGACTAAAATAGTTTGTTATACATTTAGTTTACGTATCCGGAAGACTTACGTGGGTCGATCACGGCCAAATATCATTATTACTCCATCCGCAAATCTACGTTTATGTGTGGCAACGCTAATCGACTCGTCTCATGTTTTTCTCAGGGCGCACGAATATCACCGTCACCATATCCCTTCGCTAGGCTCAACACACAGAACAACGGAATCGACTCGCATGAATGGCGGATACTCACTGAGCATAATTTGCGCATGCGCTGGTTATAAATAGCACCGTCAAATGGCGTCACGATAGACCAATTGCTACGTCGCATTTCCATTCGGGACCAGACGATCTATTCTACAAGCCTGTGTACTCAATTTTCAAATTTTAGAACGCTCTCTTCGGTACATTACGAATATCAATCTTTCGTCGTCGTTTTTACGACAAACAATAAACTCAAAATTAATTCTACGTCAGGTGATTAAAAACGTATATGCGAATAATAAATTTAATGAAATCTCACTTTTATTGTATCCGTTTTATTAAATGATGCCCTATCCCTTTTTATTTTATAAACTTTCAAAGAATATGTATATAAAGTATCGCATTTATAATAAATTTTGCATCATTTCTTGGGCATTTTGAAATTTCTACCTCGCTTCTATACCTAGTGGTCATATTGTCACGAAAACATCACGATTGATGCTTAGAAATCTAATCTTTGTTCATGGGTTATTAGTCCAAGCGCAAGTGATACATTGCATCTTATCTTATTAACTCTATGACTAATAGATTATGTAATCCGCGTTCCGTTTAAGTAGACATGAAATCGAATTATGAACTATTTTAAAAGTGCGGATTACGAGATTCACTCAGTAACGGCGCGCGCATCTTTATGCTCTTGAATGAAAACGTAGATGCATTCCATTCTAAAATGTAATTTCTAACGCATGCGCATAATCCAGCTCTCAATCATATTCATCCACTTTTCATTCAAATACAAACTCTCTTCCATGCCTCAATCGTCCTTCATAGTGTTTCGTCATCCTCACATTCATATAGGACGTGTGCACTATAATAGGTTCCGCGAATACTGAATGAGTTCGCAGGATCCTTTGTCATCACATAATACTCTTTAATATGTTGATAGCTAAGGCATATTTATTTCGGCAGAAATACAATAAAGAAAAGTCAATAAATTACTATTTTTAAAATAGTACTTTTTTATGAAACAGGCTGTACAAAACTCGTGCGGCGAAGCATTGACCAAATCTATTACTTATTCGTTCGGAAGCCGAGATCTCTTGGTACCATAAATTGCTTCACTATGTCATCAGTAATTTTGCTTCTTCGTTCTTGATGAGCTAATACCATAGGTTGGAGAATGTCGATTAAATGTTTTTTGAGCTCTCCAGTTAGTATCTCTCCACTAGAGTATCCCTGATAATGAAAGATTATTTTTATCATTAATATTGTGGTTGAATGGGTTTTGATTTTTTTTGTCTTGTGAATTTAATGATGTTACTTACTTTTCTGATTTGTTCTAGTTTTTCATCATCTTCTAAGAAGAACCTAAGCCATTGATAAGATATATCAATGTCACAATTGCCACCTAACTGTCTGTGTTCTTCAACAGTAGCTTGGCCACCAGAGAATGCATGTTTATTTACTTTATTTTTTATTTGCTTGGCAGTATCAGTTAGGAATATTGCTGTATTACTATCACTTGCAGACATTTTAGTCTTTGATCCCTGCAGTGCAGGAAAGAAGCTAGAGTGTAACAGCGCAGGCTTGGGAAATCCAAGTTTTGGGGCAACATCTCTAGACATTCTGAAATATGGATCTTGATCTATTGCACACGGAATTAGACATTGAACCTTTGCATTTTTAAAAATAAATGGGAAGCTGCTGGAAAATGCTGGAGCTGCTTGTGTTGGTGGAAAACTGATTTTTCCCACAGGATCACTGTCTCCAAATCCAAAAATACCTTTCACTTGATTAAAGGTTACGGATCTCTGTATTCTAATCATATTTTGATAAAAAGCTGGATTGTTTCCAATATGTTCCAAATCAGAGAATATGAAAGTTTTATCCAAATTAAATCCGCATGCTATTATGTCCTTGGCATTATTATAAGACATCTTTATCGCATCTTCAAGTTTCAGATTCTTCCAGATTGCTTTTTCATCATCAGTCAATTGAATTACCAAAGGTACATTAAAGACATCTTGTAACCATTTGCAAAACAGAAATGGAACAAGATGACCCATATGCATAGATTCTGAACTGGGACCTCTACCTGTATAAAGGTAGAACGGTTTTCCCTGCTCATATAAATTTAATACTGTATGCATGTCCCGATGAGAGAAAAATATTCCTCTACGCAAGAACTGGTGGGGCTTTTTACTAGTGATTTTTTCAAAACGTAACAGAAGTTCGTCATCGATCTTAGAGCTTCCAAATCTCTCTGAAAGAAAAGAAGATAAAATTAATATTGAATAAATATCTTCTAGTGTATCAATATCCATCCTAAATATTCATATACTTGATCAACTTACGGATAAGTTTCTCATAATCTACTCCAGTATCATTTTTACTCTCCACGCTCCAAGGTGTTACGACGTCTTCCTCATTGGTAGCACCATTAAGCGACAAACTTTGCACTTTTACTTCCTCAGCGGTCATTTTTCACATATGTTAGACGTTGGGTCGTCACAGTTCGAATCGCGCGTGTATTTGCATGAATGCAAGATGTACGTGTTTTGACACGCCGCAGTGCTTTCCTCCTAATTAGGAGGTTATGTTGCCATTGGTTGCCAATGCTGCAACCCGATCTTTGCGCATGACGAGTATACACTTACTATGCAAAAACACAGCTTTGAAAAAATTGATTTTGCGTAATCATGAATTAAATTACATCAAACTGTATATGTAGTAATATATTTTATATTTTAGTGCTGCTTACACAATGAAAATCATTCAAACAACGACTTCAAAATGATATTGAGGTATAAGAAAAATTTTAAAAATTGATATATATGTATACCACGCCAATTATTTTTATTAAAGTTTTAATGTCTAAATCTCTTTTTTTTTTGTATCACATCATTTGTCATAATATTGTAACCCTTAGATACGAAAACTTCCAATGCAGAATCTGCTTTGATCAACAATTGGATCATCGATGAGTTTGTGTAGTTGTAGCCACGGTCGGTATAGAACAACACTGCAGTTTCCGCTTTTTCCGCTGGAATTCGATAACTCAACCCAACTGCTTTGCGACGACCAAAAGAGTTAACATAAAAAAGAGGGCTAATTGAATTTCCATAAAAATTAACTTGTTGAATATTCGACAATAAGTGTCGTGTTACAAATAATATCTTTCATTATGAAAAAATATTTCTTTTTTTGTAGAAAAAGTCATTTATACAGAAACACGGCAAGATTTACTTGACTTGTTGTGACATTGCCAAATATGTACAATTAGAAGTGCAATTTACGAAGTTTATACGATATTTAGAGTACGTTATTAATGTGTCAAATTCAGGGTACTTTTTCACGTTCTAATCCATAAAATAGTAGTCTCCCAAAATGACAGTGATCACGCAGTCGAACTATGCTCGTATAAAAACATTTTATCCTTATCGTTTGAACTTCAGATTTTTCTTAGAGGGATAAGTTTACGTAGTTTGAAAGCATCGAATTCTGAATTCTTTATATTAACGTGCTCCAATAAATCGGTGAAACAAGCACGTTATTGATATATAGGCCTATGCAGTCTGAATAATTTAATTGCTTCAAATGGTTCAAAAAGTTTGCTGACAGATCGCAATATTATGAACAGGATTCTTTTTTGTGGAAATTAGGAGATTAAATAAACATAGTGTATAGTGTATCTTTCAATCGATTGAACCGCTATATATTTTTTTGGTATATACAAAAACATAATTATGTTTTTAACTACAGTACCCTCACATAATTATACGTCTACGCTCATTGATTGGGGGAGATATATTGTACGAAGAGATATAATGGAAGGTTAATTATACATATATACAATATACATACTATCACGTAATGCAAAACTTTGAATCACTCGAACCAGTTACAGGTGCTAATACTATTTAGCGAAATTCACATAAATATACTGATCTCTTCGTACGATCTGTTAATTTAACATAATTCATATAACATACGCGATGTCATGTACAAATATTTTAGTCGCGTAAAATAAAAAATTGACAAAATACGATAATACCCTTTTCTAGAATTTCGTCACTCTTAATAACATGACGAATCGAAGCTCTTTTCCTGACTTGCTTTTAATTTTGATTTTACAGCTAGTATGGCAGAGAATAATTAGAAATGGAATTTTGGATTTGAGGAATAATAAATAGGATCTCGTGTTGGAGCTTAGTTGGAAAAGCGATAAGGTAAGAGATTTCATATAGAGTTATCGCATAATATATGCGAAGACCAAAAATAGTACATTGATTTTGAATAAAAATAAAATTGCTTCTTATTGTTTGAGATAAATTAATTCCAGGCAATTCATTTCAGAGTAGACGACGTCACAGAATCAATATTCAGCGAAGGTACACGTGGCTAGTTTACCTATCATTTGGTTTGCTACTTAAAAATAAAATAGGTTTTTCATAAAAATATATTAGTTGCTGGTTCGTCAATCAATACTGAAATACGTATTTACAAAAATTTATAATCAGACGGTGCCTCGTAATCGAATCGATCATTTCTATTTTACCACTTAACTTACTTAAAGTTTTTACCCAGCTCCTTAGGAGTGACACTGGTGCGAATTACGTTTGATTCCTTATAAATCTAACAAAAATATAAATGTTCGATCAGATACAAACCGATGACACAGCATAAATCAATGTGGCGTCAGTTACAAAAAATGTAAAGCACATCATTTGATAAATGATCAGTAATTTGCTCGCCTCAAATACAGGTAATCAAAATATACAAAATTTCGAGACACCGTTTAGGTACACAAGTATACAGGTAACAGCTAAAAATGCTACAGTGGATAAAACTATAATCACATATATAATTGTTGGTGATTAACAACATTTATAAAAAGTAGCTTCTCCTTTCATTGGCATTAAAGTGATTAATAGCACGTAACTATGAAGGGAATAATTATTTGAAAAAAGAGGTATCTCGAAGCAGCTTTCATAAATTATCATCCCAGTCTTCGATTTTGAACATACAAAAGACATAATTTTACCGTTCTCCTAATATACCGTAGTCGGCAATACACGTACCATAATCTGACTAATTCCATTACGCAATTATTCACCGGGTGTTACAAAAACGTAAACTCATTACTAATGAGTCATTACTCACGATCATTCAAATTTCTAATCCCATTTCCACCTCGTTCTAAGACACTACATTGTCTGTTCCAGTTATCGACATTTGAACTTAAAGGATTGGTCCTTGCCTTCTCTCTGTTACATTAATCTTTAAGGCTGACACTTCCGTCTGCCACAGCCATTCTCAAAGAAAAAGTCATCGTGTCAATACTGGGACATTTATAAATTCAGCAGTAAAGTCTTCTGTTTCACTATTTGTCTCCAGGGAAACAAAAAGGCAATTTTCTTTTGCCAGAGGCAGGTAGACTCGTCAGCAGGTATGTAGTAGCTGCTACTATATTACAAGTCCTACAAGTAGTCGCTGGAAACTACAGATTTCCTTGGAGACGGAATTTCTTTCGACATCACTTGACACGGTTGCACTAAAGCATTATAATTAACGGATCGTTCTGTATAACGAATAGACACGACATACACGTTACGCACTGTCTTGTCACGAGTGCCGAGTTATCTCAAAATTATGTATGGTCGACAAATAATGTTTATGCAATATCTAACGCATCTCTATAGAAATTACTTCAACATGTCTTTCTGAATAAATATCTTCGTTATAATATAAGTATCATGTTCTTCCATTTAAGCGTTTAAGAAATCGATAATCCTAAGCTTACTTGCTAAGCTTATTTTAAGCGCTACGGCTACAAATATATGTATACGGTTTATTTGATGGTAGAGGCTTAGCATCCTTTGAATAATATAGTTCCGTTAAGGACACGTCGTTCTATCACAGTCCAACTTTAAACGCTCGTGATGATGATCATTGTCATGACACTTTGACAAATTATCATCTCGGCTATTTACACGTTACTTCGGAAATTGACTCGAATTCGCTACGTTGCGCTAACAGCTATAGCTTACACGCAAAAGGTGCTGATGGCTTCTGACGTCGAACTCATTATTTTCTCTACACTGAGAGAACTCTGATTAATTAAATAAAAATAACATAAATAGTTTATACATTATACAATAGGAACTGTCTCGTGAACAATGAATCTTGGATAGTTTTATAATGTTATAAAGTATATAGAAAGGATTTGTTCGAGAAAACATTTTTTTTACATTCACACCTTGCTAACTCTACTTAGTCGAATTAATGGGGCTATTCCTTTCCCTTTACAGTGTGCATAATTGATATCCATTTCGTCAGTGATTTCATTAATTAACTAGACACCCTGTAAATTGTATCCTGGCTGGCAGAAACCGATGATACTGTTTATCAAACATTGCTAAATCATGTCTCCTCATTCTGATTGTATTCTGGATCCTTTCTTAATCAAAGCATCAGACGCACAAATCGTTATACATTTTAATGAATTAACCCTCGCGATTAGGACTACTCAGCTCAGCATTACACGAGTACCCATGCAGGTTCGTTGTTGCGAAGAGGAACAATCTTTTTTGAACCATTCACATGCCTGATTTCGCCTCTTCAATAGCTCTTGTTTTTATTGTCGAATCGAGTAGTACCTAAGAATACTTAATGCATACTTATGATAAAGTGTCTTTTAAATAATATTGGAAGTAGGTAAGTCGACGTACTCGGTTGTTAAGAATTTTCAAGAGCGCCATCTTCTCTCTTTTTCTCTTTCAGTGTATTCGGTTGACAAACGTCTAGCTTTGTTCAAGTTTCTTTAATCAGTTTACGAACAGTAGTCTCGTCGTGTTTTAAAAAAATTTTTTTTTTACATCTCCAGCATCCAGTTAACATCCAAGGTATGTTTAATGGTGGATAAGCGTTTTTCATATTCTGAAGCTGGTATCTCGTTAAACTTCTTCATGCGAAGATTAAGAACCAACGTGGAAAAAACTTGGATAATAATTGCAATTTACTTTGCTGGTATCTCTTGTTATTTTTATAAGAATCTTAAATGACAGATCTATCCACGACTTTGTTATCTTTCTGAATCGTTTAGGCTTTATATAGATAATCCTTACTTTAAGGATCATAACACGATCTGGATAATTCAACCCATTGAACTTTATCCTACGGAAATGCATGGGCTTGCCAGAGGCTACTTTAAATTGCATTATATACGATCGGAAATATTATGTATTACATATAAATATATACATATATATATATATATATATATATGTATATATTTATATGTAATACATAATATTTCCGATCGTATATAATGCAATTTAAAGTAGCCTCTGGCAAGCCCATGCATTTCCGTAGGATAAAGTTCAATGGGTTGAATTATATGCATAAGTTCGTATAATATTCGAATTAATCGAGTATATCCGTGACTTCTACAAAAATGTCCATCGATCGTCGAATATATAATCAACTACGATCGAACACTGAATTTTCTTCAAGTCTCTCTTTTTTAATAATCTCTATGAGATTAAAATGAAGCGTAATTACGTGACGTAAAACTCGCGGGTGTTCGTTGCAAGATCGTTCACAGATCGATACAAGTATATTCATACAGTTCTACTAGTAATTACGTGAAAATAGGTATGGATATACGTTTATCGATTGATCGATATGAATCTAACGATATTTAATTCGATAGATTACGAAAACAAGTTCTTCAATCGCTAGCGTTAACGTTGCTTCCGAAGCACTCGGAACACGAGCGAATTTTCAATGAATTAAATGACTTTATATTTAAATATATGGCACATAATTATTTGCAATTCATTAGAAACTATCGCGTTGTTTATACTCTGACACCCATTGCTGTATCGTTGGCCATGTCTGGGACGACATCAAAAGTAGGTGTAGAGATTTCGGTTGGAGTCGGGGTTGCCAATGGCGCCAATCTTAAGTTTCTTCTGGATGGATCCTTCAGTATATAATCCTTGCCGGGTCTCACGAGAGGTCTACTTCTATGAACAGACGGCTCTAGTCTTACGATAGAGAAGGACTCCACAGGCGTGCCCTGTTTTCGGAAAACAGACTCTGTTGACTTGCTCTGAAGTTCTCTAACGGAGACCTGTGTCCTCTTTAAGTTTGTGCTCGACATGGAGGAGTGTACTGCCGGTGAAACGAGGACCTCGAGCTCCTGTGAGAAGACGTGTTCGTCACCCTCGTCAAAGGACGTGAATATATCGGAATCAGGTACCGACGGAGCACTGAAGAAGGAATCCCGTAGCGACGAGCTAAGGGCGTCAGGACACATGAATGGATCAAGGCACGTGACGTCGTTCAAGTCACTGCCGCTGGTGCAATTCTGGAAGTTATTGACTGAATAAGAGGACGGGAATCTATGGTGTTCCGTTACGGTTGATAGAACCTCTTGACTCCTCGAAGACTCCGACCATTTTGAGTCCGAGGGCCTTCGTGAACTGTACCTCGTGGAATCGTGTTCCGAGAATATTGGTTCCTGGAGCTTTGTCCTCTCGGAATTTTTAAGCAAGGCCTTCGACAACTCTTCTGGATCTACTGGAGAACTGTTGGATAGAAAATCATTGGACCAACCATTGTACAGCTTATCGTTACTCGATACCCGACTGTCACTACAATCCTCAATGTTTAGCAGAACTGATGGTATTATGGGATCAGAGTGTCTTATTGGGCTCTTTAGGTTTCGGTTGATAGGTTGCGGTCTTAATGGCTCTATCATTAGATCCGTACAAGGATTTATCGATTGGAAGCCATTCGAAGTATCTTCTTCCTGAAGAGAGTCCAGTGGTAGAGGATCCATCGGACTTGGCGGTTCCGAGTGGATTGTTGGTACCGTTAATGAATCCGGTACTCTGGATGGTTCTAGAAACCTAACGCGCGTCATGGGTTCTATAGTGTTTATGGACTCGGAATGCTTCAACATAAAAGGATTCTGTTTGGCTCGAGGTAATCGTGAAATTGGATCTACTCTTGGTTCCAAATATCGCACATTGTGCACTGGCTCTGAATAACAAAAATTAGCTAGCTTGTTTGGTGTGATAGTCATGTACTTTGACGACGGTGACGTTCTTTGCATCGGACTGGATCTTGGAGTTGATCTAACACTTTCGGGTGTTGGCAGAGATGCGACGCTCGTGTTGTGAAGTCTCAGATCTAACGCGGGACTCACGTAATCCGATGTACTGTTTAATTTAACGCGAGGCCGTACGTGACCGTTCAACTTTCTTTGGTTTTCCAGCTGACGACATTGCATCGCATGTCTGGCAAGACTATGATCGTGTCTGTTGTGATCTAAATTTTGTACAGAATATCTGTGATCGCCAGAGGTATTCCTACTTCCGGAAAATACCCTGAGATTGATCTCGGAGGCGTGGCCAGTGGCTGCTTTAATGTTAGGATCAGACATGGACGCCAGATTAGAGTTTCTTCTTTGACAGAGCACAGGGTGGTGGCAAAGAACTTCAGTCAAATCTTTTGTGTCCACCGATGGACTGTCAGCGTTAAGTACCGGATCGGACATTGTATTGAGCTGAAGAAGCTTTCTGTTTAACGTTCCGTCGCTCTTCAAGTTTTGATAGGATATAAATTTGGGGTCACTGAACTTTGGGAAATTTTTACTTGTCAATCGCTTGTGATTGAGCCGTCGCAGATGGCGAATTTTGTTGAACGTCGGGTCCAGCAAATATTTAAGATTTTTAATTTTGTCTATGTTATGATTGGAATCGATTACGTGATTTCGATCGATTATGTACTTAGGATCTAACATCTTGGTCAGGTCGTGAATGTCTTCCTCCACTATATCGCCTTGTGTACCGTCGGAGCACGACTGCTGGGCCGTGTCTCTCTCTGGAGATATGTCAGCGTGTTTGCTAGGCATCTCCAAACATCTTCGACTAGCATACAAAGTGTTTTGCTTGGCAGCGAAACAATCTTCAGCCGGGTGTCTTCGGCCATCGTTGCTGTTGTTAACCTCGGCCAGTTCCAAATTTGTATTCGATTCTCTTCGTGTAAGCGAACACCCGTAGCGGCTAGGCGTAACGCCAAACAGAGCAACAAGATCTTCTGCAATTTTACCAGCAGCGACTCGCATCTCGCCATGATGAAAAGCATAAATCCAAGGATTTGCTCCGCTGTGGGCGAGAATCGGAAGACCAAGCCAGACAACGGCCCACTCCGAGAGGATATTCGTACCGCAGAAGATGTCCAGCAACATACACGTCTAGAAGCAGAGAAAAACACGTCTCATGATATGTTATCGTTATATCAATTATACAAATACATATATGCATCCTTAGAAAATTAAAATATAACCTTTTTATACTGATACACTAGAAAGCTTTTTGTTCCAATCGGGTTACAGGTTCAAATTAAAAAATATTTTACTTATATGGAGCTTCTGTATAGGAATCAATTCCAGGTTAGCCCATCGCATACTGTGGGCAAATAATAGAACCGAATAGCAAATACAATCCTAAAATGGTTCCTACACTCTTCTTGGAAATTCCTTCATAAAGTATTCATAATTTAAAAGTTCAACCGGATCCATAGAAAAAATAACTACCGTCTGAAGTCACGTACCATTTGAAATGCACGTAGCCCAGCGGAAACTTCGCGGATAAGGGTGAAAAAGTCACACACGCGATCGAATAATTCTCTAGGGAGAATTTTTTACATGTGAATAAACTTCTTGCCGGGTTATTTATTATGTGAATTGCTAGGGTACCCTCGTCTAAAAACAGGATATTACACTAAAAACAACTTCGAATCTCAAACTTCAGGATTCATTCAGAATTATAACGTGGACCATGAAGGTCTTAAGAAAAATTGAAAGACATTTTGATATTGATTTTCTTTATACATATGTCGAATAAAATTCTTTCTTCGATTGATTCCATATTTCTACATATCGCACCAAGTAGTAACGTTACATGTGATATACTTTGACTCTACTTTGAATACATATAATTGTACATAGCATTAGGTTTATTTAGAGGTTTTAGATATCATCAAACGTTTGTGGCAAAACAACATGGCTGTGACGCCGCCGGTTAGAAACGTTTATGTAAAATGGATTTGTGGTTGAATTCACATGGAGTGCCAATAAATTGCGTCTCACCGTATTAAACTTCTACGCCGTTACACTTTTTTGCCCTTGCGCTTCAGTAATTTGCTCCCTTCAGACAATACCTGACAGACGAATCAAGAAAGGAGAGTGCTTTTACCACGGAATATTTGAATGGACATTATTGCACTTTTTTTTCTATCTCGTACGACGCAACCAGACAAGGTAGCTTTAAATTCGACAAGTATAAAGAAATGTGTTTTGCTTATGTGTATTGTTATTTTTTTATAATAGTTGATAGAACAATTTAACTATCATTGAATGCCCTATCATACACCTTTACCTTTAATATCATAAATTTACATATATCACAGACTGTGCCAGCACCCATCTTACGTTATTTCCTGGATTCACGCGTGTCATAGACTTATTTATATTTACGATTCAGTGAAGTTTCTTGAGCCTATAATGAAATATTAATATAATAGATTGACTGAATCTTACTATCAAATACATATATAATATTAAATTTATAAATCTGTATATGTGCTGCACCTTATATATTTGTATGTTACATATATATATTCGCAAACCACCCTGGCTATCGGCCAAATGAGTCTCCTCGCAATATATCACGCGGTATCTCTCCACACTAAGCTACATTAGACCTTATTAAAAGTTTTTCAAGAGCGGAGATTTTGCGCCGTGATTATCAGTAACGCTTAAACTTTCTCATTGGCAAGATGAGAATAAGTGGAGAAAGTGCAATAACTGACTTGAAGATTTCTTCCTTACGTCTACAGGATCTTCATCCCCGTTGATTCTGGGATTAAAAAGATTTTTGTTATCGATAAATTATTCAAGTTTACTTTACTTTTATACGATACCATGAGAATGTATCATTTTTATATTTTCTATAATAAGGATCAATGCCCTCTGTTATCTTCTATCAAGTTCCTCCCTTATACGCCATTGTCGTAAATAAATTGCGTCTGTCATCGTAAACAATGAAAATTATCGTCGTTATGGACATCCTTGGGGAATAGGAATCGTGGCAATATGCAATATTACTCTCTCGACCGTTGCACGACTATCTCGGGATTTCGGTCTGCTTACGTAGTACGAGCACGAGGTATTCTTGAAAGAAGTTTAAAAAAAAAGGCAAAAAAAATGTTCATACAAAAAATTACATCTATTCGGCAGTGCAAAAACCCAGACAACACATATGTCCGAAAGTCATCCTTAAGATGTCTTATAAGACGTTATGCGTTGCCCGGGAACTCGGCGCCATATTGTTATCTGCTGAAAACTTTTGTAGACCCTACTTTCATAAAATATATCAGCCACGTCGAAAAAACTTATAGTATCTGCCCATATATTATACCTACATACATACATACTCTATATATATCTTACAGGTGAATCTGAATATTCTACGATTCGATTACCCTAAGTTCCCACTTTTCGTCGAGTGTCGCAAAAACTGCTATTTTCTGTCAGACGAAGGGTTGTCTAAGGGTTAGCAACTAGTTCTATAGCCAATTTAAGAAACTACGGCAGGTCTTACGAGGCTCCTTCGGGCAGCTTCTACATAATGGAGACGATACTCACTTGGAACGGAAGCCAGAGTATGAGAAATGCTCCCACGGTGACTGCCAATGTCTGCCCGTAACGCGGAAGCGTCAGTGTCTGCGTTTGATGTCGAAACGATAGCTCGACCGTGTAAATGGCACGTGCATGCGCACGTGCAACCAAGTAGACGTACATATAACAGCCGAGTAACACGAGTGCACTTGGCGCCCAAACAGCCACTACCAGGAACACCCTGACAGGGGGTGAGACAGCTGCACCGAAACGGCAACTTCCGCTGAAGCAGATAAAAGTTCGTTCGCTTTTAGCGACAGGCACTCTAAAGAGTTTGGACTGCTGCAAGATAGAACAGACTTAAAGATTATAGTAGTACACGAGTTCAGTGAGAATACATAGGTGATACGACGATTTATATATGAATAATTGTAATACGAATTATATAGATGTTATATGGATAGCGGATTAACGGAGATCGAGATGGGGCAATGATTGAATTACGTCATACGTTTTTAATTTTAATTATTATTAATCTGGGAATTATGTATAAGATTATCCGTATGGTCGATGATACTTATTAGGACGTTATGTAAGTCACTGGTATGTCGGAGCCTTACGTATTTTTCATTTATCTCATTATTAAGCAGTTCATTTATTTTGATCAATAATTAAAATTCATTTTACTTGATATTTGCTTCTGAGTGCCTTGACATCGGGCAGTCCCGATACTTTAATTCATCGTGGCTCTTATACGCGGAAACCAAATCTTTTCCTTTTCTACTTCTGCTCGCCTTATTGATTTTCAATAAGCAGAGGACGGTATTAGGGCATCTCTTTGTTACCTACGAAAAGGAAGCAGCGATAGATTCGGACTGATTAATGTTTATTGTAGTCTTAGTATCTGAGAATGTTCTTAACTTAGAAACGAAGTTACGGCGACGGCCGTTCTAGGTAATAATCGATTATAATTTATTTTGGAGGTCATTGCAATTTAATTTCCGTTTTGCTATCGCGAGTAACATCCGAATAATTAATTCAATCTTTTCAAAGGGTTTCATCAATTGTTCCCATAATAGATTCACGTTATTTCACGTTATTCCAAATTGCAAACGGATTATAATGAAGTTCAATCAAGAAAATACATTTACTACGTATCCTGCACTTCTTTGTTTTCAGGGTGAAGTATGGTATTTTTAAGTAATCTTTATCACACCAATACTGAAAATTAATAATTTCTATTTGATCTTAAAAAAATTAACAGAAATATATTTAATTATTCACTGTATTAAAAACAGTCTTATAAACTCCTATTCCTCCTCCTGATAACTCCTATTCAGTCTTAAATACCCTATTCTACACCCGTAATGACTATCGATTCATGCGATCGTGGTTGCTCTTAGCAGTTATACGTTATAAATGAAATTACAGGTAATGACTATGAAGAAACACATGAAAAATATTATAGAGTTTAGATAATTCAATTAAATCAATATCCACGATGATTAATCATTATCGTGCCAAATAGTCAGATATTAGTGTACAATCTCTCTATATGTCTTACCCCCACCCCCCACCCCCACCCCACGATCTGTATATTATTTCCTCCCGTTAAAATATGATTGAATTCACATTTCAGTGCTATCCACTTTTTGTAACTAGTCTAGTAAGTTTTCCCTCGATAATGCGCGCTGGAATGAAACTCTCTCGGTTGATTGGCCTTTTCCGTTCTTCAAGCCAGCAGCGAACTCGAGAGAATGTAGGTGGGTAGGAAGTTTTTATAGAATACCTAGATAAGCAGCGAAGTAAAGGAAAAGAAAAAAAAAGGGTCCGAAAAGAGAGAGGAAAGAAAAAATGGAGTTGGTATTTCAGTCTATTCTGTTATCGAAATGTTTTTTTTTTTTTTTTTTTTTTTTTTTTTTTTTTTTTTTTTTTTTTTTTTTTTTTTTTTTTTTTTTGTTATTTCCAATATTATTTGACTATTGTCGCTTACGTTTAAAAAACTTAAAAATAACTTTCTTTTGTATGTTCAACTCCTGTTATTTTTACTGTACCTTATACTATATAACATGTCGTCGTCTCGAGTTTCCGGTTCTTAATTTTTTCTACGCGCCACGTGTTACGTTCAGCTATACCAATATTGCCTCGAGACTAAAATTGATTGTTTTTCGTTTCTACGAAAACTGGAAAAAGTTATCTCTTTATATAGACGCGAGCCTTGGTACAGTAAAGGTCTCTGAATAATTTTCAAAATTTCTGAAAGACAAACAAAACGCGTTAGCAAATATTAAATATGTTAGAATTTTGTGATATTACATGGATATATACACAACTGTATGATAAATCAATGCTAAGTCATATACGTATAGTAAACTGTTATCAATATTAGAGATAAAGAATTTCTATAAAGAAAAATCATATTTTCATAAAACTTTTAAGACTACGAATATATCAATCGAAATTTAACAAATAATCTGTAATGGTAATGCCATATGAATTTTCAGCATGATTATCGAAAGAGTTTGGTAAGAGTATAACAAGTTGCATATAAGAACAGATTCTATTGTAGTACAGTAGACAAGTAGGTGCAGCCAAACTTCTAGGCAAGCTAGAAACTTCATTTTTTTCGATCTCTCAATAAAACAAATTGAACACGTGGACCTATCATATACGATTCCAAAGAAAAATATGTAATATGGATACAACTATCGATGCGAATATTGGAAGTTTATTATTATTAGAAATAAATCAGAAAGCTATAGTATCTGAAATTGATATACGCCTGTTTGTAAGTACAATACGGAAAAGCCAATTAACACTATAATACATAATGGCAGTTGCGTAAAGTTCGCCATTATTTCGACCAATCGAAAATAAGCCAAATAATCTTCAAAGATACGTCTACATGAAATAAACTAATGACGTCCATACGTTTCCCATATGTTACGCATTATGTAACAATAATATGGAAAAGGTCTGTTTTTTATGGCGTGGACAAGGTTCGCTTAGGACAAAGGTTACTTATGTATATCGTACCAATAAATATCGGAGAAAAAAATACAAAATATTAAACACGGTATAATACAATTATTGATAAAATTACAAATATTTTAATATTTTTTTTTTAATGCAGTCATTAATCTGCTGTCAAAATTTAATTTCAAATTAATATGAAATCTTTCACATGGGAATTGTATTGAAATTGTATTACGTAAAATTTCACACACTGATGGAACTTAATGAAGACATAGAAATGTCTTGGTAGAAATCTGCCTTTATCAATTTAGTATTTGCTTTGGGTTTGTCTGAAGACATGATTTCCAGAATACAGAGTGGTCCATTGTGTGAATAGACTTGAATAATTCTTTTAATAAGAGACCTTATAGTACGAGAAGGTATTTGTTTTTTAATGGAACATTTTTTCCCTTATTCTCCGGTTTCCCATATACCTTTATTATTCTCTTATCTTTCTTCTTTATGATACAAGAATATGGTAGCTCTCTGGTAATGACTTACGATTATCTATAAAGTCTCATATGTCGTCCCCATGTATTTATATATATACACCGAATCCTTGCACTACCAAGATACATACGCATAGTAAAACCAGATGGCTGTGAGCAGTCTCTGACTTTTACCACGTGGCAATAAGGCGTAGCAAAGTGTCGGAAAGTTCTTTTGTAACGTTCGTTCCTTGTCCTTTCCCTCTTTTATTTTTCTTCTCCTCGTTCGGCTCATCCGTTATTAAATTTGTTCAGTTATCACGGGCGTCAGGAATAACGTAAATAAAAGACTTGAAAGGAGGCGAAAGCGCCAGATACAAGATGCAAGAATTGCCTGAACCTAATATATATTCGAAGAGGCGTATTAACATGAGATGAATGCGAAATGGTAACATTTCGAACGACTTTTCCTTTTGCCATATCTTGTTATTTCTTCCTGGATAACTCGACAGGAACACGAGGGGTGCGCCGATTCAAAATTCGCGATTTTTCATAAGGGGAAAATTTAATTTGCTTCAGGCGTCATAGCGATAACTGCGAATACGAATCAACTGGGACGTTTTTGACTTCCTTTTACTATGCATTGTTAAAAATCTTGACAATACGTTTGGTTTGGACGTCTCGGGGCTATAGAATTATATTTTTTCCGAGTTCGTGCTATACTGATATTCTTTGAATTCCCTAGAATAGCCGTGAGGCACCTGTCCTCGACATACAAAAGGTCCTGAACCGTGACTTGTGATAATAATTGAAAATTGAAATTGTAAAGAATATTATTCAGTGGGACAACTAGAAAAGTCATTCTGTATGTGTATTTCAGGCACGTACAGATACATATATGTATACAGTGTAAGTTTTCCTAGGCTCCGAATCAAGGAGGAGCCGCCGTACGTACTGAACGCGCTTTTCCCTATCAGATTAGTCCCACCATCCGGTTAAAGTAGGATTGGCACTTACATGCTTACAATTATGCAGCATTGAGAGGAAATACCTACGTACGGTGTTTTTGATATCGTATTATAAACACGTGAGGCTACTGATGCGTACGTTAGTTTTTTATTCGAATAGTTTACTCGATTCTCTGTCGATAATCGACAGTGACTTCTTATCAATGGTTCACTTACATAGTGATTGGTATTCGTCGTGTGCCAATCCTACCGTAGGATGAGACTGAACTGTTTAAAGAAAAGGGAGCCTAATACATACGGAGGCCCCTCAAAAATTCTGAGCGTAAGACGACTCACCATGTATATAAAAATATTCGACTATTGAGCTTGTATGAATTTCAAGAGATATATTCAGATCAAGAGATACATTAATAATTTCCAAAAAAAAACCTATAACCGTTATAGCATAGACTTTGCTATCATGAAGTATATTGCAATTTGATCTTGTTACTTTTAAGTTTGGACTTCATTTCCATATGCCTTACGGGAGCATCTAATACATACAGAATAAATATATTGTTCGGTCATGTTTATTAAGCCTAGTATTTATCGTTGCTTGGTTAAGCAATCTCCATAGAAAGATCCGGGATAAAAATACTTTGCAATAATAGGAATTGATGTGAGAAAAAAGCCGTCCTTTCCATTTACCTCATTTTCCTTCCATTTCATATAAAATCCGCGTAGCAGTCAAGCTACTGGGGTCTTTTATAATTGGTTGGGACTGTATCCTTAGGGGGTTCCCCGTCTTCTGTGCTTATGAGGTATCATCGTAACTTTTCCGACTGAAATAACAAGCTAGACTCCTAGGGTGTGCAGTAAGTATGAGAAAAATGTAGGCCGAAACGTAATTTTTTTTTTATTTAGAAATAGTTTTTAACTATTGTTTCAATTTGGTTCTTCAACTGAAGTTATAGGAAGTGTACAGTGAAAAAGATCGAAATGCACCAGGCATAAGAACGTCGTCAGAAGTCTAATGGAGTCCGTGTGAAGTAGCGATAAACTTTTGTACCCAGCAAAGAGGTTGAAAAAGGAATATTGAGCGCGAGATCAAACTCATTATTTACGTTTACAAAGAACCAATCATGATTTATTGTAATTTTACTTGATTCAAATGACCGTGGAAAGTAAACAAACTCGAGAAAAGAAGCTGTTCAGGTACGCAACGGTATGCTTTACGTTACATTGATTCGCTTTTCAAGGGGGTTGTGGATCTTTATTCAGTCGTTTGTTTATGGAAGGATAAGGGTGTAATGAATTCGGGGTGAAGAAAATGTAAACCAAGGATAATACGAGGTTGAGTATTTCCAGAAACCGATTTCGCAGTAACAGTATCTACAGCTGTGCCTTAATGTAAATTTGATAAAATTAATAATTAATCGGTATTTACGTTCTGTATATTTTTCAAAAGGCAGCCATTCAAATTTCCCGCAAATTACTTTACACGCATTTACTTTACATATGGAAACTCCAGAAGGATTTATCTTTGCCAATTGTCGAAATTCGTGGGAAAAGCTTTTTTTTTTCTATCGCGAACAAAGTCTGCATCACATTTCTTTCTATGAATGCTGAAAGGGTGTTTCAGTATGGCGACGTACTCGTGACGCATTGACGCGAACACGCGCTTCTATTTACACATGGAGCCACGCTTCGACGGTGACTTTGATGTTTAAAGTGTCTCGCAGTACCGTCGGGTAGTCGGTTTAAATTCCATGGAATCGTATTATCGAACCGTATTCTTCGACGGTATGTTTGAGAAACGTGACGGCAAACTGATACGGCTCCACCAATTTCCGGTTACTTCCTAAGTCTCTTAAGACCATTACTTGTCAATCTGGATTTGTTCGACAATCGGCTTTGTCAGTTATACATACATATTGAGATATAATTAAATAAAAATTAAGTTACTACGAGCAAGTGATTTCGATCTCCCTGATCTGAAAATTTAATCAATCACTTGAAGCTCAAGCCAAACTTTCGAAAGTAGCTGGATCCACACTTTTCAATCGTTCGAACATAACCTAGAAATAAAAATGCATAAGACAGAATGCCAAGATACATTCCTTGTGCCAAATTTCCTTAAAATTTTTTGTCTACCTTATCTTTTCGACTTTCTGAAGGTTTGCACAAGAAACAAATTCGTCCCTTCGTTTATTCTAGATGAGATAGTGATGAAAGATTAAAAAAAAGAGTTGTTATATCTATACCTGTGCGGTTGCGTAATCCCCATTATCTGTGCGTAGATCAAAGGTGAAAGTCCTACGGCGATGGCGTATATCCAAAAAACAGCAATGTACTTCTCTACACTGCTGTGGGTAATTATGTTCTTGTATCGCAATGGTTGCGCAAGGGACGTCAGTCTGTCAACAGCAATGGCTACTGTTACAAGGACACTCACGCTACAGAGAGCGATTACAATGCAGTAGGGTGCGATGCACAGGGTTGAGACGCCGTTCTCAGGCAACCCCGAGAGTTCGAGATGCATTCCAAAAGGCATAAAGACCCCAACCTGTTGAGTAGAAAGATTGCCTTTTATTTCACCAACAAGAGAAAACTCTTCTACAAGGAGGATCGTGACTATGCAAACTCACCCCAAAGTCACTAATAGCCAGGGACGCCAGTAGACAATTGGAAGCTGTTCTCAACCGCTTGTATCTGTAGAATGCTGCGAGTATTATGGAGTTTTCGCTGACTGTAACTGGCGATAGAATGAAGACTATGGAAACTGCCAGTACCACTGACACTGGACTCACTTCCAACCTTGTATCCACTCTCGTCACTGTCGGCATCAGACTGGTAGTGAAATCCCCCACAACGGAGGGCGACAGTGCTTTCGTGGCCAGAGTAGACATGATCTTTGAACACCGACGTTTTGACTATATCCAAGTACTCTGCCTTCGCCACTTTAACGCTCTCGTATTTAGGTTATGTTTTGCTCGTGAGCCAGACGTCCGTAACGTGATATTGCCCCTATCATATTTTCAGTTTTCAGCCCTCGAGCTCACTGAACCCGTACAATTTTTTTAATACATTTTTTTACACGCCAAAGGAATCCCGATGGTTTCACGGGTGAGATACGTTCGTTAAGTCTGGAAAAAAAAAATAAAAAAAAATAAGAGAAATTAATTCGAGTTCTTTAATTTTATATATGTAGGAGGTGGGCTGATTAATACTTTTGATACCTCGAGATGAAGTATTTTGTATTATTCGTAAATGGAATGATAAACGGGAAGAGTGGCACTGGCTTTACGAGTTGTTTACGGAATTAATTTCAAGAAGATGAGTAAAATTTCAATTAAAACTTCAGCCAAGTTCACGAACCCGCCGGATCCTCTCTAATGTCCCGTTGTATTCTCAGCAATTATTTTCATAATAAGACTGATGCTATTACGGCCAAATGTCGCTTAATCGCGTCTTCGCATTGCGGTAAGACGAGGCAAGACGCACGAGGACCGCCATACTGTACTTAAGTTATTAGTTGTTTATGGTCGAGACGTTTTAAAGTTTTTTCTAATACGTCTGCATCCAAGTATAAACTTTGTCAACAAGTAATGATCCAATGGAAAATTTTTAACAACTGAATTTTCTATTTCGTAGCAAAGAAAATTTAGTCTCGTTGTAGACGGATAAAAAAATATACAAATTATAACTCATTTCGTATGCCAGGATAATTAACTATAAAATTCTTAAAATCCACACGGTTGCCCATCGTTCATTTTTACGTACCCTTTAATTTTAATCAGCAACCATCATTCTGAAGATACACTGTAAACCGTTTCGCTCGTGTAGCTGATACTGAGTCGGTTCCTCGAATAACACAAGTTGACAGAAAAAAAATAGCTGGTTCTTCTTTTCCAGATAATCGTTGACGCGATGAAAAATCGTAGACTGAAACGCAAGACGTCGTGACGTCGAGGAGTCCGCCGGAAACTACTTAATTGGGTTGAGTTACAGCCTTGGCCGCATTCTTCTTTTCCTCGTTTTTTTCTTCTTTTGCTTCCTGCATTTGCCCCGGGAGTTTCTTATTTTCGCAAAGTCTTCGGCGCTTCTTGTATTCTGAAACAATTGACACGAGATACACCGTCAGTTCAATATCGATATCCGGTATTTACATTGTTATCAAAGACTATTGGAATTTAAATCGACGTATCAAAATCTTTGATTGTCTCATTCGACTTGGTCATTATTCAAGACCCACATTTAAATTCCCAACGACACACGCAAGGTAAGCACGTGCGAATAATAATTACAAAAAAACCCCCCAGAGAGTAAAGTCCATTAGCCGATCGAAAGCCTGCGAATCGAAAGAATTTAATTTACACCCCGTTTGTCACTCGAGTAAATAGTCTTGACGTGTTGTAAGTAAAGAGGGGTTGATCCGAACTCTACTATAGGGCTTAAAAGGCCAGCACCGCATTCTGCCCATGTTCCCGCGGAAGGACTGTGCGTTTCCCATGTGCGAAAGGTCACTCAAAAGATTATAGAGTTTCTTCTTCGTCACTGATATTAAAGCATTAACGCAGGCTGAAAAACTTGCAGTGCTCTTGCGTACGCGCCCTAACGATTACAATTCTCGTACGTTAAACCCGGTAGTTGAAAGATTTCGTAAGAATTGATCTCCGCACAGCTGACTTTGACAATTTTGAATTCATGCGGATACATGCGAAACGAATGGGTCAACAAATGTCTCCCCATGAATTTCCACGTTGGATTCCTGCTCTCGCGCTCCTTTGCATTGACGCTCGAGTTACGTAAGGAAGAAATTTGAAAAATAAAGAAAAGAAAAAATTGAATTACTTCGTCAGCCGCCTTTTATTTCTTTTGCGCATTTCTCTTACAAAGGTAACCTCCGTTGTTTAGACAACGGGTGTTACAGCATCGTGTAAACTTCGCACATCGGCCACATCCGAGATAGGGAGGACATTTTCTTTCCAGAAACCAGACAATATCCTGTCCTACTTTTATCTTGTTTATCCTTTTCCGTCTTTCTCATTAAATTCCTCCATCTTATTCCGTCTCTCCTACCGTGCCTTGTTCTCGCTCTTATCCGTAGTCTGTCTCACGGTATAGACTGGTAGTCAACGGTAGAAGGTGAGCTCTCCGCTTTTAGTTTTTACGATACGACCTACAGTCGCGGAAAACCCACAGGGAATGGAACTGCTAACTACACGCTAGACTGACATTATCAACAGCGATGTATTGTCGTAACGATTATCATTAGTGTCGACCACTTCTTAAAGCCTCTTGAAGAATCCACTACGTGCCCAGCCGAGAGTTTCGCGTATTACGTACATGCGTATACTATACAGTATAATATATACACCGTATGTATAGTTTGATAAATTTAATTTGCCACGGGGCTCGATTATTAATCAATTTACAGGTTATATTGCTGCTCACGTATGAGCAGTTATAACCTGGTAGTACCTATTCACGTTCTCTGGAGTATCGAGCAGAAGATGCCCAACGGCAATTGTTTGGATACCGTTTGAATTTGTTACCCGCGCAGTTGCCACGTTCCCATATTTTCAAACATTGGCAAAACGTACAGTCGGCTAGGTGGTGGTTACTGGTTATTCATATTGACGCTATGTACCATTCGAACATTTTTTTTATTAATCAAGGAACGACCATAAAGTTTTATAGCACGAATTTCGTCTGGCATTCCGCGATAGATTTTCGGCCGATATTTCTCGATAAGCAAAGGGCAACAGCTGTCAGACGCGTCGAAGGGGAGAAAAAGAGAGAAAAAAATGGCAGATTGCTTTGCCTTTGAGTAAATTTTGTATATTCAATAGATTACGAATGCTTTTGAATCTGGTATTTATTGGAACCCCTGTATATTTATTCTCATAATTTACGATAGGTATATGTCTATCTACCTATACTTACAGCTGTTTTTTTTTTTCCTGAAACTGTAAGTCATCAGGATGCCAAATCAAATTTAAAGTGTTTCCCGCGCGATTCCATTAAATCCAGTTTCCAAGCCGTTTGCGGCGTCGTGTTCAGCCTTCCGTCGCAAACACGCCCGTATAGTTACATAGCTGGGGCACGTCCAGAATGCCTGGCTGAGCGACTTTGTTCTTTTTCTAACCTAATCTTACGACGTAGTTAGGACAGAGATGAAAGTCGTCTGTACGGATATTCTGGAACCTACCCCTCTACACGTTTACGGGGTAGAGAAAGGGACAGGGAGTTTCAAAAGAATTGAGACTACCACTGATAACCATAATAGGGGCGCGTAACAGCGCCACACGTTCCATAAATTTCCGTCAGAGGGACGATCGGTTGTCAAACGATATTCGATGGTAACAGTTACCGAAGGACGATCAGTCTTCTTCTATTATCCCTGCCTCTAAATAGTTCAAGGGCAGTCGAGCGTAAAGTTCAGGAAAAAGTAATTAAAGCTTTGGGTGTAACAGCTTTCAAAGGTTTTTCTTCGTCAGTGGCTGAGAAGTTGGACGCAGAGTTTTCTAATTTTGACACATTCTGATATACAAAAGTCCACGGGACTAGAGGAGGAACGATGACAATTGAGGGGATTCAAAATTTTCGTTAAATAACTTTCGACAATGAGATTTCGTCGTTTGCTTATCTAATAGCGATACGACGTCACATAGAGTCAAGGTATGATATTTTTATGTTATAACTAAAGTATACGGGGTGGCGTTTTAACGAAAATTAAACAGTAAAAGTTTTACTCTGCTCGTACCACAGCCGATACTATTTATGGTTCGATTATAAACAGACCGGGAAAGCGTTGTGTCTCAGACTTCATTATTGTATATATATTTTATATAGAGTAACCTACTTTTTTTTCTATGGTCTTAACCATGCTCAATTGCCTCTGATTAGGTTCACAGACCCCGTGACATCTGGTTACACTAAAACGAATTAAACGTTTTCTCCTACTTATCCACAGCCTTAATATCCGTAAACCCATGTAAATACGAGGACTCTACCAGCGCGATAACAATTTCGGTATAATCTCTAGCGGCAAAGTGGGAAAAGGATAGATGACGTCTGCTGGGCCATTAATGGACACGTGAGATATAATATCAGCCCAGGGTGACTTGGTCTTGGTATCAAATGATCCCGACGGTATAAATTTTCGTGATATCAGTCATCTTACGAGCCATGGCATTTGCATATCGAAATACCATTATCGATCGAGTTGATCAAATTGATCGGAAAATTAATGACGTAATATAATTTTAGATCGAGATGAGCTTGAAGATTCTTAAATACTTCAAATTTCCATATCCTCCACGCATTTACGTTTACACGCTACGTTATCACGCGGGTAAAAGTCCTCGATCGATTGAATGTGAATATCAAAGATATCATACGAACAAGAGTATCGGGTCGGAATAAATTTCATATTCCGCGAGAACAAAGTCGGCGAAGAAAATACTACTCTATCGATGAAAAAAGTCGAAGCGAAAGGTGCGTAGGATCGTTGAATGATACTTGGGCTCGATACTTGACAATTGGATGTCAAGCCGGGCTATACTTAGAATAATAATACTTTTACTTAGAATTCCTTCTGTTTCAGGCGTCTGCGACGATAATGTTTTTTGCAGGTGGGCGTCCACTTCCCGTGACGGATACGACGACGTCCTTGGAATACCAATGGCCATCTTTTTCTTCGACAACTTTACGCACTGCAGTCAACCCTTATCGTGGCCTTCTCCACCCTGGCGAGATCAAGATTCGTTACCATGTTGGAATATAGATGACACCGTGCATAGGGACCCATGACAGAGCGTGTAAATGGAAATTAACGGACGGACCCCCCAACACGACGAAACGAGGAGGGTCTGCCAATTTGAATTATTTCGTGCTTGATTCGAAGTTTCGTATAACGAGACAAGGGATTGGATATTTGAATTTCAATGACGGTAATAATTTTCTTCCTTTTTTTTGTTCCTTTTTTTTCGCACCCCGTCACCCAACCCCGTCGGTCGTATTATATGCCCGGAACGCTATTCCGCTTGGAGGTCATTCAACACACGTCGTAAATTGTGACATCGTATTGGGTTGAAACGGGGTGGAAGATATTCTGGTACTAGGACAAATAAGGGTGTATGCGAATCCCGTGCTTCTTGAATCACGTCATACGTATCAGTGTATACCGATCGGTGAGATGAATATTCATATCAGCTGATGCATTGTTGATTAATTCACATTTACCATGTAAATACGCAACCAGGTGATCCTTTAATTCAATTCGACCGAAATGCTCGCTGCTATACTGCCGTTTCAATTTTTCACGGTTAACCACCAAGCGTGCAGGGTATTCCGTGCGACTTCATTTCCCTGGCGCATGAACACTTTCAGTATCGTTTTTCTTCGAAAGAAGTAAACTCAGGAAATGAGAGTGAGACTCCTATGAGGTTGCGTAAGTGGAGCACAGATTTTCAAGAAATAATAATCCTTTGCGCTTTTCCATAAAAGACCAAACGGCGACAGCACGAGTCATAAAAAGTTCAAAATGTTTCTTTTCAAGTTTTTCATTCAAATTCGATACTCTGTCTAAAGTCACGGTGAAAATACGATAAAAAATATCGTGGGATATGAAGCGTAATCGTACTTTCGTGTGCTCTGATCAGTCGTACGAAGACCAGTGACGTCATAGGTAGCAATGAAAAAATTTTGATAATCACTGTATATCAAATTTTCAGTGTAACCTCACCTGGTGTAGTTTTTTTTTTTTAATTCTTTTGTTCTCTATAAAATGCCCATAAAAAGGTCTGTTATGTACGGCGAACGTTTTCGTCTTTGCGTACTCGAACTTTGTCGTGTCAAGGCTCGTACATCCGAAAGACTTTTTCTTTGTGAGAAGTCGCGAAAATGGCTGTGGGAAATATTATCTGAACGAGGACTGTTGACTCGAGAAAGGAACTAGAAGGCTGTCAGGATGAGATTTCAGGTTGAGATATACGTGTGATCGATCGGCTGGATACCAACGAAATTGGATACCGATATGTTGCACGAAGAGTTTCTGCTAATGGTAACAAGGATATTTCTTTATTGCAAATGCCATCTATAAGCAA